TGCCATGACAGAATAAGCATGTTGTGTATATATATCATTCACAGATTATCATTTACAGATTATGAAAAGTCTGATGGACTATTTTAGGTTAGAGAAAAATGCTTCTTGCAAAAGAGTGAAAGGAATTATAGATGACTGAATTTTGTTACTTTTGCTTTTGGAGACATTCTTAGTATATAGAAATTGTAAGCCATTTCAACCCCAGATGTAAGCAACAAAAAAAAGTTTGTTTTTTTACTCTAAAGTAGTTGTAGTGGGCCTCCCCGGTGGCGCAGCAGTTGAGCGCTGGGTTGCGAACTGCCTGCGGCCTCTGCAGCGCCGGTTCAATCCCCGGGTGCTCCCCGGCCACCAGAGGAGGGTCCCACATGGCACGCAGACCTCTCCTGCCGCCCGCTGCTCCCCTCAGCAGTGTACTTCAGTCCTTCTGCCTGCTCTGCTCCCCGCTCTGGCTCTGGTGAATTCTCTCACCCTCCCACGCTTCTGACTATACCCAGTGCATGTATAAAAACAAACAAACAAATAAATAAAAAACATGCCTCTATAAAATAAATAAATAAATAAATAAAGTAGTTGTAGTGCTCTTATATGAAACAAAATTTAGTGAAATATTCAGATAGCTAATCAGCACATGAAAAGATGTTCAGCATCATTAACCACTAAGAAAATGCAAATTAAAACCATAATCACTACACACCTGTCATCCTAACTAAAGTAAAAAATTCACAATAGCAAATGAAAATAAAGTTGCAGAAAATTTCTGTCTCTCAGACATTACTGGTGGGAATGGAAAAATGGTACAGCAACTCTGGTAGCAGTGTCTTTAAAAACTTTTTTTTTTAAGAGTTATTTATGCATACAAGATTGTAATAGAAAATAAAATTAAAATAGCTCAGGTGTTTCTCAGCAAGTAATTGGTTAAACAATTGTGGTGTATCCACCACCTTGGCACACTGGCAGCCGGTGGCTGCCATTGGTTCCAACACAAAGGAACCAATTGTTGATACATGTAACAACCTGATGAATTGCCACTAGAAATATGGGCAGAAAAAGACAGCTGGAAAAGGTTTTATCCTGTATGATTCCATTTCTATGTCTGAGAAGGTCCTTATCTTTCTATCATACAGGAAGGAGAGCCTTGCAGGAAAGAGTACCCTTGGCTGGCCTTTTTTTTTTTTTTTCTTGATTCCATTTCTCTAACTTTCCTTAAAATGACAGTAATGAGGAATAGATTAATGATTACTAGGAATTAAGAAAGGAAGGAGGTAAGTAGGTATATATGGCTATTAAAAAAGCCAACAAGACAGATCTTTATGATAATGGAAATGTTCTGAATCGTAACCAAATCAGTATTGATACTCTGTGATATTGCACTGAGTTCTGGAAGATACTAACATTGGAGGAAACTGGGTAAAGGGCACACACATGTAAGTCAGCATTACTTCAAAATAAAAAATATAATTGTTCGAAAATAGTGTTCTGATGAAACACTTCATACATGTTTATTTTTTTACCTCACTTACTGATTCATTCGATCATTCCTTTATTTAAGAAATTATCGAGCACTTGATATGTACCTTATTTGGCCTTAAGATCAAGTTCAAGTCAATTTTCCTAACACCAAAATCATCACCATTTTATAATTTAGTACATAAAGGACACCACTTAATTTTGTTAGTAGTAAGTTTTGAAACTAGTTTATATTGCTCAAAGTCAGCTCTTCTGTAGGTACATTTTGGGGCCTTGGTAACATTAGCTTTTAAATACTCAAATTTTCCAGAGTGAAATTATTATGGCTATGCTTCAGGGTGTAAAACTGGTGGGCTCTGATTATATATTCATTTGTGTGTAAAAGCAGGAAAAAAGGCTTCAGTGAAATCTAGGCACTTCCAGCTTGTACTTGATCACCTGTGAATAGAGAGGGGAGACTTTCTCTGCAGGTTCATAAGTGTTCTCAAGGTGTTCTTGCTCCCAAGTAAGCTTCGGACTTAGAATGGAATGTGCTCTTTGGGAACTTTCTGAACTCAGGGCAGCTCAAAAGCTAGGCTTAAAGAAAGAACTGTGCTTGTAGTGAAAAAAAGTGGAACATAGTTTTAATTCTCTGGTCAGTTGGCCCCTGAACTAGCAATGGGGATGGTCTGTCATTGGTCTGTGCTTCCTCCCATCCACAGGAGAATGACTTCTATTGAATTGTGCTTTGATGTACTACAAAGGGGTGTCAGTGTCTAATGAACGGAATGTGATGGTATTCTGTGACTGGAAATGAAATTTGACAATCTTGGGACTACAAGGAGGCTATTTTTTCCTAACTAGTGGAAGAGTTGCCAGGGGCCAAGGAGTGTTCAGAGCATATCATGACCATCCTGTGGTCAGATAACGCCAGCCCTGGCTACACAACAATGGGTATGGGGCACAGAAACAGGAAGTCTGCAGCCCCCACCAGGTGCACTCATCTCTTTTTTTGAGCCTTTTCTGGAGGATGCTTTACAGATCCTGGTGATCCAGATTTGAATCATGAATTGTAGTTGAGGAACAAGACTAAAACCTTTTTTGTGAGTTCGTTACTTATCTTGACTTAAACTTAGCTAGTCGAGGATCTTGTCCCGCTTGACCAGTAATTAGACCCGTGCAACGTCTCCATCTCCTGCTAACTCTTAGTGACTGACAGTGCCTGAATGCATTCTTCATCCATTTTGACCAGGCAGCTGTCCAGAATGGCAGTGCCTGCTGGGACCTTTACGGCATGGAGCATGGCATCTAGCCCAGTGGCCACATTCCCAGTGACAAGACCATTGGGAGAGGAGATGACTCCTTCAGCACCTTCTTCAGTGAGATGGGTGCTGGCAAGCATATGTCCAGGGCAGTGTTCATATAGTCATTGGCACCTACTGCCAGCTTTTCTACCCTGAGCAGCTCATACAGGCAAAGAAAATGCTGCACTACACCTTTGGCAAGATCATTGACTCGATCTGGCACCAAATTCAAAAGCTGGCTGACCGGTGCACAGTTCTTCAGAGGGTTTTAGTTTTCTACAGCTGTCATTGGAGAACTGGTTCTGGGTTTACCTCCCTGCTGATGGAACATCTCTCGTCAACTATGGCAAGAAGGCCAAGCTGGAGTTGTCCATTTACCCAGCCTCCCAGTTTCCACAGCTTTAGTTGTGTCATGCAACTCCTTTATCACCACTCTGGAGCACTCATAGTAGACAACGAGGTTTTCTATGACATCTGTCCTAGAAACGTTGATAATGAGCATGCAACCTAGACTAACCCTAACTGTCTTTCAGCCAGTTTGTGTCCTCCATCACTGCTTCCCTCAGATTTGATGGATCCCTGAATTTTTTTTTTTTTGAGATTTATTTATGCATACAAGAGCTGGTGGGGGAGATGAGAGGATTCACCAGAGACACAGCGGGGAGCAGAACAGGTGGAGTGACTGAAATACACTGCTGAGGGGAGCAGCGGGCAAAACAGGAGAGGTCTGCACCATGTGGGTTAGTTCCCTGGCCAGGGCTCAAACTTGTGCTGCAGTGACTGTGGATTGCTTCACAGTGCTGAGACTTAAACCCTTGCACCACCAGGAAGTCCCCAGCCCTGAATGTTCATATGACAGAATTCCAGACCAATATGATGCCCTATTCCCGCATCCGCTTCCCTCTGGGCACATATGCATCCATCATCTCTTCTGAGAAACCCTACCATGAACAGCTTTCTGTGGCAGAGATCACCAGTGCTTGCTTTGAGCCCACCAACCATATAGTGGAATGTGATCCCTCACCATGGTAAATACATGCCCAGCATACTGTGGTGATGTGGTTCCCAGAGATATCAGTGCTACCCTTGGCACCATCAAGGCCCCTACTGGTTTCAAAGTTGGCATTAATTAACAGCCTCCAACTGTGGTACTTGGAGGAGACCCGGCCAAAGTACAGCAAGCTGTGTGCATGCTGAGCAACACCACAGCCATTGTGAGGCCTGAGCTCACCTGGACCACAAGTTTGATGTATGCCGAGCATGCCATTGTTCACTGGTATGTGGGTAAGAGCATGGAGAAAGGGGAGCTTTCTGAAGCCTGTAAGCACATGGCTACCATTGAGGATTATAAGGAGGTTGGTGTGGATTCTGTTGAAGGAGAGGTTGAGGAAGAAAGAGAGGAATACGAATTAACTTTCCTTCCAGACATGCAGCGTGTCATACTATAATTTAGCTTCAACATTATGATAGGTATTAAACCTTTCTGGTTCGATTGTCTTACCTTTCAACTGTGAATCATGTCTTTTCCATGTGTACCTGTTTTCTTCCATCATGTATCAAAGGCTTTAATAAAGAAAGAAAAAAGAAAGTGCCTTGAACTTTTTGGAAAATTAATAAATATACTCTAGTGTGTTGTGTAAAAGGACTAATGTCATAAATAGATTAAGCCTGGTTTATCTTACCCGTTTATTTAATCTAGCATGTATGTGAGCCATGATATTCTAATAATTTCATAGAAAATTCAGTTCTTTATCTTCTAACAGAAAGGTTGTAATTTCAAGTTGCTCCTGGAGGGAGGGTAATCTTTGGTTATTTTTTTTCTGCTTGTCTGCTGAGGCCAGAGTGGATGGAATAGTCTTGGGTTCCCAGCGGTCTTAGGATTCTTATGATGGTGGTCTTGGTGCGATATGTTGGTTTTGTGCAACTTCTGAACTTTGGGGGGAAATTTCGTAACACAGCTGGCATTGTCTGATGATGGGAAAGGAAAGGGAACTTCTGCATGCATTCAGAATTGGCAGATGACAACTTCTCACATACAAAGGAGGACACTCTAGGATTGCTCCTAGATGGAAATGTATAAAAACAGTGGTAGCCTGAGACTAATCAGTTAAAAATCAATAAGGTTAATGAAGAATGAGTGGTATATAATCTCGTGTACAAATGAGTGCTGTAATTCAAGTCATCGCTGTCTTTGTCATTGCCATTAGAGCCACAAATTTGGTGTTAACATCTTATTTTCTTCTTTTGCAGTCTCAAACCATGAATTATGTGGGACAACTGGCTGGGCAAGTGATTGTCACAGTGAAGGAACTCTACAAGGGCATTAACACAGCTACCTTGTCCGGGTGCATTGATGTCATTGTGGTGCGACAGCAGGATGGCACCTATCAGTGTTCACCTTTTCACGTTAGGTTCGGGAAGCTGGGAGTCCTGAGATCCAAAGAAAAAGTGGTGAGTGTGGCCATGTCCTGTTCTCCAGGAGGGTCAAAAGGGAGATGGTGAGAATGAGTAAATCATTATTGTGAGCTCTCTGGGCCTTTTTGTTTGTTTGTTTAACCTTTGTGATTGAAGATAGTGGCATGAGAAGTCAGTCTATGTTTTGCTTTTCAGGTTGTTTCTAAATTCAAGATAGCCCTACTGTAGTCTCTTCAGGGGATAAAAGACAATTTTGATCCTGTATGCTGCAAGGCAGAAAACTAAACAGTGAAACTAGATTCATAAATGAGGAAGTGAGGTGTATTTAGGAAAAGTTTCTTTGCATTATACAGCACTTGAAAATATTTAGGGTAATATCATCATGCCAGTTGTGAATGAAATAGTCTGATAAAACCAAAAAACATTATTTTTGTTTATAAGAAATTAATGTGACGTTTGTATTGACAGGACTGTAAAATCTTATTTGTAATCCAAGTTTTATAATTGATACTGGGACTTGTCCCCACATCTTACTGAAATGCTAACACCCAGCAATATGCCAGTTGGCTTTCAATTGTTTTAGGGAAGAAAAGAAAGAAGGTTTATTTATATATATATATATAGTTATTTTATATATATATATATATATATATATTTTTTTTTTTTTTTTTAATATCTTCTTCCCTTCAGGTTATGGAGCACCTGGAAGGTTGATTTGTACATACGGTGTCAGTTAAGTTAGAAAACTGAGCTAGTAATAAAACTTAGCATGTACATAGTATCTTCACTTTTCCTTTTGCCCCACAGTGTCTGCCTTAGCAATGTGGAATATTCTCAGGGTTTCAGTGAAAGATACACACCATTATCTAGTATGTTAGAGGATCTCTGACATAAGTTGAAAACATCTATTTTCTGATGTTGTCTGCTTTACATAGCTGAGCTTATTTAAAACAGAAATTTACCTCTTTCAGTTAAACTTTTTATTTTTGAAAATGAAAGTAAAAGGTTTATGGGTTTCACAAAACTAGGTATTCTTATGTCACCCACCCCCCAGCAAAAAGTAATCACATTTCTAGGTGTTACAAAATCATTTTTCCACTGAAGAACCAAGTTTCAAAGTGGCAGGGTTTGTGTGTTCTGGCCTCTGTTTAGTCACTCTTTGGAAACTAAAAGCAGTTACAGTTAGTGACTTTGGAAATTTTCCACTGCAAAACAGTGTTTTTTAGCCATGCTTCTCTGGAATTTTTTCTTTTTTTTTCCCCCGGAAACACTAACCTATAACACTTTCAGATTGTTTCTGCTCTGCAAGAACTGGGAGCATTGAAATTTCCCATAAGTTGTGCAAGGATCTGTCTATTCATAAAATGGCTTATAAGAGTTTTTCCTTCGTGATAGGGTTTTTCATCAGTAGATTGGGTAAGTTCTGGTCTTTCAAAATGGAACCCACAGGCTGATTTATCTATATATACATCATTATATAAGCATAGCCTCCTGGCTTCCCATTAACACAACAACTTCAGTGGACATCATTCCTCCTTCTTACAGAATAACAGTGTTTAACCTCCTTGTCAGACTTGGGTTCCTTATGTCTTGGAGACCAGTCACTATAGCTGGGGGTAGTATTGATAGGCCTGTCTTGAACAGCAGCTCCCACCTTCACTCCCTGAAGCCATACCTAAAATAGAGGATGAATAAACTCCAAGGGATACCAAGAGATGTTCTTACCCAGACAATGGCATACCAAAATAAGAATGCTATAGCCAGAATTTCTCAAAACTAAATCAGTTATAGTTCAACATCTTAGTCATGTATGTTGAACAAGATTCAGCCACAGTGTAGGATATATGACTATATGGAAATGAGCGGTTCTTTCTTCACTTTACTAGAAGTGGTACATCAAAAAGAGTATTCTTCAGAAGTAATCACCTTACGAAAAATTTATTCCAATTTGGTGCCATCTCAAAATATTTTTCATATTTTTCCTTTGTTACCTAAAGAGCTAGGAGCATGTTCCTTTAAATACCTTTAATATGGGCACAATTTATTATTAGATTTTATTTTTAGAAAAAAATTAATTTTTGAGTCAAATTAAGAGACTGAGTAGTCACCTTGAGAAATAACACATCCTAAAGAAGTGTTACTGCCTTTTCCCAGCTGCGTTGAACAAATGCATAACCACCAAAGGTGAAAATTTTGATAGGTGGTATTAGTTTGTCTGGTTTTTTTTTAATTAAAGCAGAATAAATATTTCATTTGTATATATTAATGTAAAGAATTTCTACAGGTGGTTTTAAGTATTTTACATATTTAACTTCTAGTTAGATAAATTATTTTAAGTCATCCTGAATAACCCAAAATAAGTATTTCTTTACTTTTTCAGTTCTCACTTTTTAAGTTAGAAAACATTCTTCCTATGATTGTGGAAGAAATGCCATTATTACAGTGCTTCATAAATCATAGACCACTCTAGATGTTTACTTCAACCAGTTTTTCCCTGAGCCAGGGAATTTATTGCATTGCTTTTGTTTTGAAAAAGTTACATGTCATGTCATATCCAGGTTTTTTTGTTTTTGTTTTTTTGGTTTTTTGTTTTTTTTAGCGGTAATATTCATAGTAATATAAAACACTAAGAAAGATAGCCAAAAAATGTGTTAGGGTTGCTGTCTATCCTCTGGAAACTATTTCATACTATAGCCCTTTCTTTCAGAAAGTAAAAGAAAAAAGTTGTGTAAAATAGTCATTAAGATTTCTTAAATTACGTAGGGATTTTATTCCATAGATTTATATTTAATTCTTAGTTGTCTGTTATTTCCATTTTTAACGGCTTTATTTTGTAATTAACACATAATGAACTGCACATATTTAAAGGATACAATTTGATGTTTTAATGTGTACACATCCATGAAACCATCACCACAGTTGCATATCATATGCAACATTTAGTTTCATAGTTTCATATCTGTATTTGTAGCTTGTGTCCTATGTTTGTAGTTTCTTCTTATCTGTGACATTTCCTCAGTTTTTATTTATGATGTTGACATTTTTTAATATCTTAATCTTAGATTTACAAATTGCAAGTGTTGTTTTAAAAGTTTCCATATATCCTTCACCGAAATGCTTCCCATAATGTTAACATTAACATTTAGAACCAGGAAATCAACCTTGGTATAACATTGTTAATTAACGGCCTTATTCATATTTTTACGTTTTTCCACTACTGCTTTCCTCCTGTTCAGGACCCTACATTGCTTTCATCCTGTATTCGCTAACATTTTTTAGTGTTTCCTTCCTTACGATCTTGATTTTTGAAGAGTGCAGAACAGTTATTATGTAGATTGTCTCTCAGTTTGAATTTCTGATGTTTTCTCATCTTGGTGAGAATAACCCAGATGTCATGCCCTTCTCCGTATAATATCTAAGGAGGCCCATTGTGTTGCTATGTCTCATTACTGGTGATGTTAACTTTGTTAATGGTGTCAGCTAGATTTCTCCATAAATTTACTTGTGAGAAGAAACTGAGACAATGCAAAAATCGTTTTTTCCTCTTCCACTCATAAATTTTAGTATGCATTGATAAGTTTGGTCTGCAACAGTTATTACTGTGGTGTTTGCCAAATGGGGATTTTCTTTTTCTATCCTACATATTCCATTTATTAATTGAAAATCTTTTGCATGAGAAGCTATTCTTTCTTGTTCACATATTTAGATCAGTGTGGACCCATGGATATTATGCTCTTTGACTTATACTTACTAGTATTATTATTTCATTGCTCAGATTGTCCCAGGTAAGGCTATTTATTGATAGTTCCTTCAAGTTGAGTTGATTATAAGCAATGACTACTTACTTCCTGACACTGTAAGATATTCCAGAAGAATCTACTTTACCCATATGGGTACTATAATTACTTCTTTGAGCAGCCCTATTTCCTTCTATTGGAGAATTTCCTTCTATTGGGAAATTTAAAAATTAAATGTCACTACATGTGCTCATTACTACTGAAGTATCATTGCTTCTAGGCCCTCTCAGCAGGCAAAGCTAGAAAGTGTGTGTGTGTGCGCGCCTATGTGTATGATCGATCCCCATCTACATCTAACTGGAAAAATCATGAGTTCACATTGATTCTTCCAATTCCAGTCCTTCACCACAGGGTTCTTCCTCATTTCCTTATTTGTAGCTGCTTTCTATGACAATGTGATATATGCCTCTTCTTATCCACAGTATTTCTCTTTTCAATCCTAGAAAACACATAAAATACTTCAAGAATTGCTAACCTACATCTCTGTGATGAAAAAAATACTACTATTTAAAGGTTATAGTTGTTGTTGTCTTTAGATTTAGAATTCTAAAATTCCCTTTCTTTCCCATCTCTTCAGTATTGTTATGTGTTTCATACATAAAACTTGTACAACGAGTATTTTGACAGCATATGTCAACCAGTTTTCTTTTTATTTATTTATTTATTTATTTTTTTTTGTTTGTTTGTTTGTTTTGTTTGTTTGTTTGTTTATACATGCACTGGGTACAGTCAGAAGCGCGGGAGGGTGAGAGAATTCACCAGAGCCAGAGCGGGGAGCAGAACAGGCAGAAGGACCGAAGTACACTGCTGAGGGGAGCAGCGGGCGGCAGGAGAGGTCTGCGCGCCATGTGGGACCCTCCTCTGGTGGCCGGGTAGCAGCCGGGGATCGAACCGGCGCTGCAGAGGCCGCGGGCAGCTTCGCAACCCAGCGCTCAACTGCTGCGCCACCGGGGAGGCCCCAGTTTTCTTTTTTTAACAAGATGTTACTTACCCCATCATTACCTGGGCTCCTGGGAATATATATAGCCACCTTTCGTGATGTGAACTAGTACTCAATCTCTGATCAGATGGGATAATTGGTCCTCTCTGGGAAAAACCCAACAAGCAAATCATGCAATTGTTCCCAGCATAAGCACCATGCAGCGCTAATTACATTCAAGATTATGGACTATTGTATTTATAGCTATACTTTGTCTTTCATTGTGTTCATCTTTGTATCCCCTAAACAGTCTATAAAAGTTTATGAGTTTCAGAAGTTTAGTATTCACTTACAAGTATAAGATATGTAACAAGTATTCACAGTCTATAGGTAGTTACATTATTTTTAAGTTACATAAAGTTATATAAAGTCCTCATTTCTCATGGTAGTACAGACCATTAAAATGACTGCACACACTGAAACTGTAAAGAAAGCTTAATAATCAGGGGGCTCCCTGTTGGCGCAGGTGGTTGAGCACAGCACTGTGAAGCTCTCCCCAACCTCTACAGTATGTGTTCCATCCCTGCCGGCCAGCAAGATACCACATGGTGTGACAAACCTCTCCTGTCTTGCCCGCTGCTCCCCTCAGCAGTGTATTTCAGTCAGTCTGCCTGTTCTGTTCTCCGCTCTGTCTTGGGTGAATCCTCTCACCTTCCCACACATCTGGCCTGTACCCCGGTTCTTGTATAAATAAATAAATCTTTAAAAAAAAAAAAGAAGCTTAATAATCAGTAAGAAGAATTAAGAGTCTTTCCATGACCTTCACAAATTTTTGTTAAAACTTTCAAATTTAGTTGTTAATGTGTAGGAAAATGAAAAATTTACTGCACTTTAAAACATTAGAAATACTGAAAGTAGAAGTGTCCTATTTATCTTATCAGGAACATGGCTCTTTGATGTAAAACTTATGAAGCAAGAATCTTTTTTTTTTGTCTTAGCAAATTGGCGTGTTCCTTTCTAAGTTGGAATCAGCTTTTGACTTTTTTCATCCTCTACACTCCAGTGTCAGTGATTAAGAATTCCTTCAAGATGAAATTTTTTTACTGCCATTTCCTCTGAGCCTTCTTCATCCTTTTCATTACAACCTTTTCTTTCTTATCCTTTTTGTGACTAAGCTCACCTTCACCAGGCTGCACTGGCTGCATGTCTTAAGTCTCTGATGGCAGTTCACTATAAAGTTCACTGGCCACAATCAGCACACATTCAGCTCTGTACACATTCAACTTGAACTTCACTTCCAGCACTTTTTGTTTACTTATTGTACTTTAATCTTGACCAGTAGTTTTCTTTTTCAATTATCCATTTTTACGAAATGTCACATGGATTTATCCCTGGGAGACAAAGAAGCAACACAATCACAAGGCTTGAGATCCGTGCTTGAGCTAAATCACAGATGTGCTCAGATCATGTCACCAACAGGCTTTGAAAAAGTATCATGATGGGTTATTAATCAGGATGGGCATCGAATATTTATGCAGTGATTTGTGGATGAAAAGCTGGCAGTGAAGTTTGTGCTTGCTGCATTTAACTCAGTTAGCATACCATAGTAACTAAAATTTATGTGTACCTAAACTGTGTAAGATGAGCCCTGCCTGTGCTGTAAATCCTGGAAGTGCACAAATATTTGGTAATGACATTTCCCCTATTTTATAACATTTGGGATATGAAATACCTTATAAAATTATAATTAAAAATAAATGATATAATTAAAAATAGATGATGAAAAATTTTCTTTTAACTCTTGGTTGCCCATTCCTAGCCTTCACTCTCCACCATTGGGTAGACTTTAGGGGTGGAGAGTGGGGCAGGGGCTGCCACTGGATCCTAAGTTTGGTGCAAGAATCCAGAATTCAGGATTAGTTTACCTTGAGTAAAAGACTCTTAGTGTTAAATCACTCTTTGTTTCTCCTCTTAGATTGATATAGAAATCAATGGTGATGCAGTGGATCTGCATATGAAATTGGGTGACAATGGAGAAGCTTTCTTTGTGGAAGAGACTGAAGAGGAATATGTAAGTTCTGCTGGGTCGCCTCCACTTTACACAGTGTATGCAGGTCTCCAGTGCATGTTCAAAAACAGAAATGTTCATCAGTTTTTATGATTAGTTTTACAGATGATTGGTGCTTGTTAGACAAGCTTTATTTTTAGTTTAAATTAAATACTGTCATAAAGGAGCAGGAAAAGTGAGTTTCACACTTTCTCCACACGTGGGTATAGTGAGCATACAGAAGGCCTGTGCATGTTCTCTTTTTTGGTACGAGAAGGCACGTCTTTTTCTCTACCTTCAATGAGTTCTGTTATGTAGTGACTATTGAACACTTTACACTTTGACTTGAATATGTTCAGTTCCACCTAAGTAATCAAGGCATATCTCTTCAGGCTTTACTGTGTTTGTACACGTGTGACCTTTAAACTTGGAAAACATGTTTACCATTGGGTTAGAGACATTGCTTCTCTTACCTTGAACAGTCAGGTGAATTATTTTATTGTGGTCTTAAGGGATGTAAATTAATTGGCCTATGCCCTTTATATAAATGATTATTTCATGTTTGCCTTCATTCAGCAAGAGAGCATAGTTACCCCACCCCCTTCTGTATCCACTGATTTGATTGGTGGTAAACTGTTCTGGAGGTATTCACTGCGGGTTTTTAAAAAATAATACTTACAAGACATCTTTATATCTTTCATCATAAAGAATTCATCAGTAAAAATAATCATCGAGTTGTTAAGGATAAAGGGCTAGTTTTTTCTTGTTTTGAAGGCAAATTGCCAGTTTGATGTTACAAATTTCACGAAAGAAAAAAACAATATAAACGCATAATGTGGTTATCATTTTTTAATATAGATTTGGAAGCTAACAACTTAGATACCAGTATGTTAAGCAGCATTGAAACTGTAAGAAGGGATATTTACCAGATCCGTATTTTTCCTAGTGTGTTGTTTTTAATATGACCTTGTTTGCATTTACTTGGTCTAAACAAAATTTTGTCTTAGATAAGCAAGAGGCAGAATGAAGCAATAAATGAGTTATCACAAGAAAAAAAAATGTTGCTGTTTCTTAAATTCAAAAGTACTGCTTGAGCTTTGTAAAAATCAACAGATACAGGAAGTGAGAGCACTGGGTTAATTATAGTGTTATCTGATTCTCATGATAATTTCTGATAATTCCATTTAAAACTATGCTTAGCAAGGTCAAGTATGTCAACTTTCCAGCCTTTTTTTCCTTTTAACATATGACCAGTTTCTTTAGTATGCTACTCTTTAAAATTTAAAAAAAGAATAAGTCTATTTATACAACAAATAATACTCTATGCTGCATAGTATGGGTAATAACTCCCCACCCTTCCACCCTGTTGCTAAGAGTTTATAGTTTAAATGGGAATAAACATTACTAAAATCCATCAGGCTTTTTTGTTTCTCACAGACTTTTTCTCATTTATATGTGCTCAACATCTTTTTCAATTCAGTAGTTCTAGATCTAATTTTGTCCTCTTAATATCTATGGAATATTTCATAGTAGGTAGTTAGCCATTCTTTCTCACAATAGACATCCATATCCATTTCCCACCTCTTACAAACAAACAATTAAGGACTCCCACTCATTTTTAGGACTAATAAAAACTTGAGTATTCTAACTTTTGAGGTTAATCTATCTACCTCAGTTACTATCTTCCATTTCCTCCGTGACACAGAAGAGTGAAGCAAATGACTTAATTTTCCTGAACACCAGACTTGATTATTTGATACTAAATTATGAGTTGAATTCCTGAAAAGGATATGTTAAGTACTATGCAGTTTTAAAATTCATTAATTTCCTTCAGTTTAGGATATTGTCTGTGTTACAGTAGCCTGTCACCATCCTTGGTTGAGCAAGCCCAAGCATTAAACACTCTAAATGTTACTGACATTCCTCATTTCTCTTAACCTCTCCTGTTGCCCTTTGACAGATGGGATGTTCCTGAGCCTGCCTTATTCTTTATCTTGTTCTTAATTGTTCTGAGTTCTTGACAGACTCCTACTTTGTAATACCTCCTTAGAATGCTGTTGTTGCTTTGAGCTTCTCTTTACAGAATTTAATTGACTCTACTTTAATTGTAGCTTTTCTAGGTTCTTGGTGACTTGCATATCAGTTCCTCCAACTGAATTGTTAGGTGGACTGATAATAGCTAACACTTAGCCAGGTGCAACTGGGTAAAAAACTTGTTCAGCATAGAGTGGACAGTACCTTATTTCCCCGTGACTTTCTTAGCTGTAGATGCTGTCCTTCTACCATTGTGAAAATGTATATACACCAACAGTTTGTTGTTATTCAGATTCACTGTCCAGATTGTCATGTAAACTTTTCTCTCTTCATGCTCTCTCTAAGGAAAAACTTCCTGCTTACCTTGCCACCTCACCAATTCCTACAGAAGATCAGTTCTTTAAAGATATTGACACCCCTTTGGTGAAAGCAGGTGGAAATGAAAGGCCATCTCAGAGTTCAGACATCTCACACATTTTGGAAACAGAGGTAGTTTTCACCCCAAGTTCTGTGAAAAAGAAAAAACGAAGAAGAAAGAAATGCAAACAGGATAGTAAGAAGGAAGACCAGACCACTTCCCCTACTGCAGAAGATACTGTGAATGTGGACCTGAGCTCTGATGATGACAAGGGACTGCAGTCAGCAAGGTAGGGCTCTTGGTATTGGCTCTTTGTGCGGCATCAACACACACAGAACTTAGGCACAGCAAGAAACTGTTGTTTCTTTTATGCATATGCAGTTTGAGGCTTGGACTTCTTTCCCCTTAAATGTGAAATCAAGTGGGAGAGGTTTTTGTTTTTTTTTCCCCTTTTTGACACATCAGAATGTGCCATCTTATACCCTGGTGTGGTACTAACATATCATTTGAAGCAAATTGGCAGTGTGTCTCTTTTCATCTGATAGGTTTTCCAAAAGCCAAACAGAGTGTAAGTCACAAAGAAGATCTGAATTAGTATCGCCCTGGCTAAGCAGATACAATATCAGGAGTTCCCTACACATTGATCTTGTGCTTGATAACTCACCTGTCACTGAGAAATTAGAGTTGTTTCAAGTAAGTTGAAGAGGAAAGGAGGTTTCATGTTTTTCCTTTATAAATAAGAAATATAAATAAGAATATCTTTTCAAAATATATGCCAGTTTTCTGGTCAGTACCACCTGGGGTTGAGAATTTACATTTGGGGGTAGAGCTTGTATTTTCTTTTTTTTTTTTTGATTCAGTATTCATATTTTAGAAGATTAGCTTCTGTCTGTTCCATTTGATGGTTGCCCTGGCACTGGAAAGCCTTTGTGTGTTTTAGTGGAGTGGTGATCATTGGATAAGAAGCTGCTGCCCAAAAGTGACCTTGAATCTCCAGCCCTTTTACTTGAATTGGGGTAAAGGGAGAATGACATTGTGAGAGAGATGCTAGTCTACTTACGTACTTCTACCTTGGCTGCTGAAAAAAAGAGTGCATGTCCTACTTCCTGGGAAAATTAGTGCTATTAAAGTTCTCTTTGTCTTGGGAAGAGGGAAAATTGTTTCTTCCTCTATAGTTACAGAAGCCAAAATATAAACATGGGTAAATTGTATCATGCTTTAGGATGTGTTTTATTTACTAAGTTTTGGTTTTAAGTAGTCAAGTTAGGAAAAATTGTTATTTTTAGTATTTTATTTATTATGTTCTGTTAGTGAATAGTGTAGTATAGTCCTTTTTAAAATTTAAAACTTCTGAATAAATCTAACAAATTTAATTTTGTTTTGTAAATCAAAAGACTAGTTCAAAACACAACTCATCATTGGTTTCCAAAGAATTCTAAACTAATAAAAAGTACCACAATTTCTTAAAAAGAGACTCTTCTCATTTTTTTTTTCTCTTCCTACTTTCAGTCTCATAAGGATTATTTCTCCTTCCCTTCCCATGGATACTATACTAGGTGACAGTTTGAGATATTCCATTGTGTGATTTCAGTGCTGTTAAGAAAATGTCAGCATTCCTTTTAAAATTTTAGCTTATAATAAAATGTGTAGGTGGGCAAGAAACATGTTCTTTTGAGGAAAACTTGAATTATATACATCTAACTCCTCTAACTTTTATTTGGATTAGCACTGGAATATTTCCCTAAGTGTCTTAATTTCTGTAATTATTTTTGCCAATTACAATTCTTCTAATATCCAAAAAAGGATCCTGAAGTAACATTTTTGCCTCAAAAGTTTCATTGACGTGTGTCTTCAACATAATAGAACAAGGTTTAGAATGCCTGAACAGCCTGCAGCTTCAACTTAGAAATTTTCAGCTTTTCCAGATTATATGCACAATCACCTGCTAAGTGTTATAGGAATTGTTACTCTGAAAGAATCTTGTAAGTGAATGTGTTATCACTGAGTACATGGCAGGAATACTAGTGTGGGCCTTTCCTTTCCAAATTGTAAGAAAGACTGCATCAGCCAAATCTGTTGGCATGCTAGTTTGGTTAACAGTTAGAAATGGTTGTCAGCTTCTCTTTCTGAGCTATATCCCTGTGTAAGCAGTAAGATCAGAACACAAAAGCCAGGGCCTGTCATAATTTTTAGGATCTTGTGGTTTGCTTTATCTTTATCATACCAGTGATTCACAGATGCTACCACTTGGACGGACTCTTCCTGAAATTTCCTTAAAACAGGACTCAGCCAACAGAAATTAAGGCTTAAAAAATAAGACAAAATGTAATAGTCATGAGAGGTCAGGCCCTAAACTGAAATGTGTACTCAGCTAAAAGATGGAAATTCAACCTGTGGTGGTTGCGATTGTGGACTCATAAGTTCCCTTAGTCACTTTGGCCTTCGTTTCTTAATCTATAAAATAAGAGAATTGAGCTGTGTGGTTAGTAAGGCCTCTTCCAACTCAGCACTTAGATTCTCAAATAACTTGGGGCAAGATATTTAAGGTAAAACAAATACTAAAGAGCTCATTAAAGAGTCTGAAAGAAAAAGTTAACTGCTTTTGCAGATGTGAGATCAAGAAATTATAAAGAATTGGGGAATTTGCAACTTGCATGTATTTTACCTCCCTTAGCCACTACCATTTAGGAAAGAAGTTCTGTTTCCAGAGGAGATACCTAAAATAAGTTTTCATTTTATTTGAACAAAGAGCTTTCTGTTTAAAATCTTTATTAATGTGGGCCTCCCCTGGTGGCGCAGGTGGTTGAGCACCGCGCTGTGAAGCTGCCCGCAGCATCTGCAGCGCCGGTTTGATCCCAGCCGGCGAGGGTCCCACATGGCGCGGCAGACCTCTCCTGTCTCGCCCACTGCTCCCCTCAGCAGTGTATTTCATCAATCTGCCTGTTCTGTTCCCCACTCTGTTGAATCCTCTCACCCTCCCGTGCATCTGGCCTGTACCCTGGTTCTTGTATAAATAAATAAATAAATAAATCTTTAAAAAATAAATAAAATCTTTATTAATGAAATTCTTTTTGAAAAGAATTCAAGTGGAGGCTTCTTGAATGAGGCAAATGAAAGAATCATTGTTTAAAGCAGGTTACTGTTGCAGAGCTAGAAGAAACTGGTGAAAATTAGAGACTTTAGAATACATGGGATTTGATGTAAACTGTGCTATAGTCTTTCTCCTGAAGTTGAGCTTTTGACATGAATAAAGCCAAGGGATATATATGTGTATACTTATTAAAAACATTTCACCCAGGCAGTAGCCTTTTGGAGAGAAGAGAATATTCACATTGGATAGTACTCTAGCACAATCTCCATTATAAATACACTGATGGAAATAGTTCAGATATACAGCAATGACAGAAATGCAGGATGAGACTGCATTATCGGAAAGGAATCTCTTGATTTTAATCCATCAAAGTGACTTGTTTACAGTTCATATGGGAGCTAGGTGCAGAGTGGTAGCCTAAGATTTCTCACAAGACAGCATCAATCTGTCTTATCTGAGGCTGTCTCTTTCATCTCTAGTCTTCCATGTTCTTCTCCAGTGATGTGGCTCTACATACAGCCTACTCCCTGCCTTCCCCTTCATTTCTGACAGTGATAGAGAAGTAGTGCTGAGTGCTATTCTAAGCTGTCTTTATGGGAAAGATACTGTATACCAAATGCAAACTCAGATCATTAATGTCACTGAAATTTATTGTGCTAAGGTTGAGGATAAACATACTTTTAACACTGATCTTTTGTCATGATAGTTAGCATCCTTATTTTTCTCTTTCATACTAGCAATTAAATCATTTAAAACTCAGGCCCTCAAATTTATCCCACATAAATATTTCAGGCTATTTAATTTCCTTTTTGTTGCCCTAACCCCACTTTAAAAAGTTGATGTATAATCTACATGCAGTAATATTCATAGATAAGTGTGCAAGTCAATGAATCTTGATAGTATTCTAAGGCGAACTTCAGTTGACTTTTGAATCAGGAAGATTTTATTTTAATACCAAATTTGAAGACATGATGTTGAAGAGCATCTGTGAAGACTGACGAGCTCTGTATACAAGTATGAACTTCAGCTGAATCTTCCCACCTCTGACATGGCATCACCACTGTTTACCCTTCTGGCATTCCCTGCCCTTCAGTGTTAATATATTCTATTTCGAAATAGATAGGATCAGTGTTCATGTTATTTTCTTCATATTCTGATCTGTACTCCCTTATAGCCTCATGTCATATACTTAAAATTCCTGTTTCAAAGTTACTGTCTCACTTGCTGGTCATCTATTCTCAAGTATGTATGCCATTTTGAAAAGTGCTTAACAGATTTTTAAAAGTCCGATTTTTAGTAAATGAATCAGATCTTAAGGACCCTCAACATCAGCAACCTTTGCTATCACTCTAATGGATCTAGATTAATGGGTTCTATTTTTGTCAGAATCTGCTCAGAGAAGATCATGTCATCCTGGGGTTGTAAATTCTTAATGGCCCGAGTGTGCTCGGGCACTGTCTGTGTTTTACTAAATCCAGTTTGCTTTGCTGAACCCTTCTTGGCTTACCTTTTTTATTTTTTAAACCACAGAAAAATGTTTCAAAAAGAAAATACTTGCAATTAAAAAAAAAAACTGGCTGCTTGATTTTCTTTTATTAAGGAGTATTTTTATCTACATATCTGCCCTTTTTTCAAAAGTGTTTTTCCCCTCTTGAATGAGTTTAATCCCTCTGGGAGAAAAACTTAGGAGTATGGAAAAACATTTCAAAATTAGTAGTAAAACAGAGCAAGTTAATTTAAGATAGGATGAAAATTAAAACTGGTTTCTATCTCTATTAAACAAGTGATACTGATATTCTTTTACATTAATGTCTGTCCTGGTAGAACATTGATTTTTTCCTATAATAAGCTCTTAAACTTTATATAGGGTAGTACTCTATACTTGTCAGAGTTTTACTTGTAGTTTTCTTTATGCTTTTCAGAACTTTCAGCATGATACACCACATAAGTCTCACATCAACTCTGTGAAGTAGACAGGACAAGTGCTAAATTTCCAACTAAAGATGAAAAACTGGGGCCCATAAAGCTTCTGTGGGATGTTTTCAAGGTTATATGGCAAGTTAGTTACATTACTCTACAGATTTAAGAAAACCAAAGGGTAAATTTATTAAAATCTTATTAATATTAGTTCAGCATTCTATAGTTCCAGGTCTGTGTGTGAATTTTAAAAGCATTTATTTTATTTTTGTATCATCTTCCTTGCATCCCCACTTCATGCAGATTCTAAGTAAGAGAAAGTTCTGAGGCCATGATTTGGCCAGACAAGGAAGAAAGCAAGTTCTGGGTTTTAAGAGTTTTCAGAGTGTTATTGAGCTATAGCTCATCTCCAGCTGATGATCCTAATTTAAATTTTCTGTAATATACAGGAGAGTAGTGGAAAATACAAGAACTTCCTCATTTTGAATCCAACAACTTAGTAGCTGTTTTACTTTATATGTATCTTATTAAACTCTGAAATTTGATTACCTAATATCTGCATTGGGATAGTCTCAGATTTGCAATGGCTGTATAAATACATGTAAAACCTTTGTTGTCTTCTAACCTTTCAATCTAAGGAATATAAAGAAGAATTTTTTAATCCCATCTTTTCTGTCTTTCTAGTTAGCTTCTTTTAATAGCGATTGCAGTAGTATAGGTGGGTGGCATCAGTGAATCCCCCTTTTCTTCCCTGTTTTCCTTTTAAGAGGGGTAGTTATTAATCACTTGGCCTTCTTCATTTGTAGTCTTCAGATGTTGTAATAGTAGATTTGATTATGTTTTAAAGCTGACATAAATGTCATTGTTCTGCCTGTCTTTATTATCCTTTCACAGAGGATCTTCAAATGCCTCCTTAAAGGAAGAAGAATGTAAAGAGCCTTTGCTCTTCCATTCTGGGGATCACTATCCCTTATCTGATGGAGACTGGTCCCCTTTAGACAAGTGAGTATTTTAAATTTTTTTCAGTTTCTTAAAGAAGTAGAAATAGTTCTTCTGGTATTCAGTAGTAAGGATATTTCCCATTTCATTCATAAAGTAGAGGAACTGAATACTTCAGAAGTGAATATATGGATCTTTTTTCTCAGTGATTTCTTGTTTCTAAACTTGATAATAACATTTTTAAAATGGTAGCCGGTGTAGATTTATATAATCAAAATAGAATTAGATCCTCTATAATTTCTTAAACTCTTTTCATGTCAGCTATTTATTGTAGCTGGATAATATTGTGGGGGGGAAATGTATGGTTGCACTTGTTCTGTATTCAAATCCAGATTGATTTATTAATTATACTAATCTAACCCATCTTTCCGTGTACTACTACTCCTGTAAAACAACCTTTCTCTTTGATTACTTGTGAGAATCGAATGGAATAATGCATATAACGTGTTCTCAGAGAACCCACCAAGTCCTCAGTAAATACTTGATGGCGTTTTTTGTTATTTCTGATTAGGGTAGTAGAAGTAATTGGTGTTCCCTTCAGTATAGATTTTTTTATATGCAGGATAAAGTTGATTACTCAAACTTGTATTTCTTTTAATCTTTCAAGTGCAGCATGACTGAAGTTCCTGACTTTAACATCATACTTCTTTATCCTGTGTTTGCAGTGCCTATACCCCAACAGCATGTCCTAAGAGTGATTCAGAGCTGGAGGTAAAACCTACTGAGGGCCTGCTCAGATCTGAGTCACATATGGAATGGACATGGGGCGGGTTCCCAGAATCCACCAAGGTACTACAGTTTACTTGCTTTGTAATGTGGCCCCTTCCATTTTAGAGGGGGCAACTTTGGGTGAGCTTATGTGAAGATAAGTAATGGTGGTGCCCTCATGTGGTCATAGAAGAAAATCCAAATTTAACCTTTGCCATGAACTTTGCCCTATATATTTACAATAGAAGGAATCGAATGTTATTTTCAGTGTTTTTGCCTAGCAGATGCTGATGATTAACAATTTAATAAGGAAAATGTAAGAAGCACAAAGGAAACTTAAATTTCCACACTAAAAATTTTAAATAGGAAATTTGATTATGAAAGCTTTTTTGGGGGGGGGATTTATACTGAAAGAAGAAATAATTGGAAAAATAATTTTTATAAGAGAAAAATGTTTAGACCTATTTTTTTATTAAATACCCATTTTGCAAATCAGCTGACAAGGGGTAAGTATCTGAAATATACAAAGAACTCCTACAAGTCAAAAGAAAAATAAATCCAGTTAAGCAATGGGCAAAAGGCCTGAATAGACATTTTTCCGAAGAAGACATACAGATGTCCATAGGTACATGAAAAGGTGCTCATCACCACCACTAGGGAAATGCAAATCAAAATTGTAATGAGATATCACCTTACATTTATTAGAATAACTATTATCAAAAAATTGAGAAATAGCAAGGTTTGTTGAAGATGTGAAGAAAAGGGGGGACTGTTGTTTACTATTGGTTGGAATGTAAAGTGATGCAGACATTGTTGAAAACAAATACAAAGTTTCCTCAAAAAAATTAAAAATACGACTACCATATGATCCAGCAATTCCACTTCTGGATATTTATTTGAATAAAAAGCAAAAACACTATCTCAAAAAGAGATGTTACACCCATTTTCATTGCAGCATTGTTTAAATAGCTAGGACATAGAAATAACCTTAGTGTCCATTGATGGATGAATGGATAAAGAAAACTTGTATGTGTGTGTATATACCATACACAAACAATGGAATATTTTTCAGTCATAAAGGAGAATGAATTCTTTCCATTTGCAAGAGCATGGATAGACTTTGAGAGCGTTATGCTAATGAAATGAATCAGATAAAGATAAATATCACATGATCTCATTTATAAATGAAATCTTAAAAATAATCCCAAACTCATGGGTATAGAGAACAAATTTGTAATTGCCTGAGGCAGGATGGTGGGCAAAATGGGTGAAAAGGGTCAAAAGATATAAATTTCCAGTTACAAATGAATAACTCATAGGGATTTGTCATGCAGCGTGGTGACTAATAATACTGAATTTTATATTTGAAAGCAGCTAAGAGAGTGGCTCTTGAAACCTTTAATCACAAAAAAATGTAAACTTGTATCATGATAGCTAATAACTAGACTTTTTATGGTGATTTTCATAGTATTTGTAGTGACTCAGATATGTATGTTGCACATCTGAAATGGTGTTTTGTTATTTATACCCCACCTTTTTTTAGGATTGATTTATTTATGCATACAAGAACTAGAGTATAGGCCAGAGGTGCGGGGGGTGACAAGATTCACCAGAGACAGAGTCAGGGGCAAGACTGAAGAGGTCTGCTGCACCATGTGGGTCAGCTCCCTGGCCGGGGTTTGAACTCATGCTGCAGTGGCTGACAATAGCCATTTGATAGCACTGAGACTTTAACCCCTGTGTCACCAGGGAGGCCCTATACCCCAATTTCAAAACAAAAAAAAATTTTACAAAAGAAAGTTTTGAGGCTTTGGAAACCCAAATATATATATATTTGTGGTTTTTACATAAATATATACACATTTTGCTTCTCTGTGTGATTACACTGAGACTTTACTGCCTGCCTCTATGTTATCTTAACAGAACTTTAAGACAGTCCAAACAAGGTTAAATTTTCACATGACACTCAATTTTCTCGCTTGAAATGAATATTCTCCCTTTTTGTATCTAAAAATTGTCATATTTCTTCTTCTCCAGTGTTTAACTCTTCATAGTAGAATAGTTATAAATATAGCTCATAAATATAGCCAACAAAATGCAGTTGTTAGTTTTTCCCACAGAAAATATATAATGGATGTGCTGTTATAAAGTGAATACATTTAGTTTTATCCAGCTTAAAAAATAGATAACAGACACCTTTAAAAGTTTAACTTTTAAACAATTCAACTCTTTTAGATCAGCAAAAGGGAGAGATCTGACCATCCTAGAAGAGCTACGATTACACCATCAGAAAATACCCATTTTCGGGTAATTCCCACTGAGGATCGCCTCCTAAGTGAAGTTGAGAAGGATGCTTCCATGGAAGAAACAGTCTGTACCATAGTGAAACCCAAGCCCAGAGCCCTGTGTAAGCAGATGAGCAATCCAACTCCCACCACAGAGCCTCTCCACCCTCCCCTGGGGCCTCCTCAGATTTCATCTATGTTAGATGCAGACCACCTTCCTATGTCACTGGTGGAGTCACCATTGGAATCAAAACCAGCAGCTAAAGTAGACTCACCATCAAAGAAGAAAGGTAACAGTTTAATTTGGTATCTGGTACTATAAATTTAGACAGTAAATTATGTCAGAGTATCACATAATAATGTGATGGCTATCTTTATATTTGTCCTTCCTATTCAGAACTTAGTCATGCACTGTTGCACTAAATATTCTGCTAGGCTAGAACTCTTGACTTCCCTCCTTCCTCCTAACTATTGATGCTTATTTGAATCATTTATTTTAAAAATTGGTAAACACATTCAGATCAGTTAACGAGTAAAATTAACCACTTAATTGACTAGGTGTGTCAATAAAGTGTAGTGGAATCCTAAAAAATTAAATGTTAAAACGTAAAAAACTTCACTAAAGTTTTTACCTTCTGAAACACCTGGTTTGATGAGGCCAAATTAAATAGTTTTTCAGCAAAGATAATGAGATAAATGTTTACTAGTCGTTTACATTCTCTTCTTGTCTTATTTCTCTGTAATGTAGAGAGAGGATGGAGTCCAACTTTTGACTCAACAGCCTATCTCATTTTTGGAATACAAGTTTAATCAGAACATTCTTATCATTTAAAAATATTGTTATCTGCTGATCCCTGGTAAGATAAACTTGAACACACTCACTCTCTGAACACTGGCCCCTGTTTTTAGGGAGGTAAAATTTTATATAAAAATACCCATTGTCATATATGGCCAAATACCTGTATCACTTTTAAAAATAATAGCACTAAAGATGGGATGATCACAAACTGGCTTAATAAATATTCACTATAGAAATGTACCTTCAGGGTCACGTAGAAAAAAATTAAATGAATTTGACTATTATGGGTATTTGTGGCCAAATGTGACAATACAACTAGTGGAGGCTTACCTTGGCACCTGCCCTTTCATAGCCCAGCTTTTCTGAAAGCAAAAGTTAATAGTCATGCATTCTACTTTTAGAGATGTTAAGGGGGCAGTCCAGTTTTTCAGAGGGGATGTTTTTAATCCAGGAATTAATGATCCTGTTCTTATCATAGTGACCCCTAGAAAATAATAACCCCTATTCTTAGCACACCATGTAAGGACTAACTAGAAATAGCAACACTGAGGGGTTTCTGCCATTCTTTTGGCCTCATTTTCCCAACTCACTATCATTTTATTGCAAAAGTGTCACAAAGTTATTTTCATTCCTCCCCTCACCCCTTCTTCCTTCCTCCCTGTCTTCTCTTTCTCTCTGTGCTCTCCCTGCCCTCCTCTCTCATGCAGTCACACACTGCTGTACCTATTTTCCCCTCTATACCCATGATAAATGACCTTTGCAAAAGCCTGGCATATTGTCTTGAATGCTTCCTCACATTCTGGATGTATCTAAATGTTTCTTTCAAGGTGCCATCTTTCCTTAAACTTGGAAGTTAGAACTGGAACAGCACTGTACTATAGAAATGTAATGTGAGCTGCATTCGTAATTTGAAGTTTTCTTGTAATAAAGAAAAAGTAGAAATAAATAATTAAATTTAGTCATATTCTAAGTAAATGTAAAGTATAATTTTGACATGTATCATTATATGCCGTAATGAGATGTTACCTTTTTAATAGTGAGTCTTGGAAATCTCTTACATGTTTGACACATTTATATGCCTCTCATGAGACTAGTACAGTTCAGGTGCTCAGAAACCACACGTGGCTGTCGACTACTATATTGGGCAGTACAAATCTAGCTTAATTGGATTTAATTTACACATTTTTTATTTTTTTAAATGAAGATTATGTTATGGGGCATTCTTCATATTTAATCTCATAATGTACTACTAGTGATGCTAAATGTTTGTCACTTAGTAAAGTTATTCTCTTCAGGTTTATCCATTATAAAGAATTTTTGTCCTTTGGTAGTTAGAAGGTAATGCATCCTAATATTTTGGCAGCATGTGAATATCTTGTTTGCCAACTTCTTTTCCCTAGTAATTTTAGAATAATGACCTCTTTCTCCATGTTGGAGATTGCATCAGGTTTGTTCATTCTTGTTGGTTTCACCATCAGTGATTTAGGAGCTAAGATTATTCATATTATCAGATGAAAGAATGCATAATTAATCAGTATTTATTTATTGAGTGACTGTTGTAAGTTCAGTGTAACCCCAAGTTTCTCTTCCATTGTCATGGATGGTTGAGACCAAACATAGACAAAAAACATTCACTGACACCTTTAAAAAAATAAAACACAATTCAAGTCATAGTTGGTTTTACTTGCAAACCTTATATTGTGGAGTTGTAAATGAAGGATAACTAAATTCTTATCTCTGATGTGTCTTTTCTTATAAAAACAGGTGTCCATAAGAGAAGCCAGCACCAGGGACCTGATGATATTTACCTAGATGACTTAAAGGCTCTAGAACCTGAAGTTGCAGCTCTTTATTTCCCCAAAAGGTAGTACCTTCCTTGTACATTGAAGAATAAGCATAGTTCTGAAGTAGTCTAGCTGCTTCTAGAGCAGAATATTTAATCTGAGAAAAAGGAGCAAGATAATAGTGTTTTTGGCTAAATTGTGGGTGATTACTTCATAATTTGGAAAAATCAAGTTGTGGATGTGTTTGGACTATAGTGATTTGAAACTACTAATTTACCTATTTATGAAAAAATTATCAATGCAATGAGCAGTTACCCTAGTTAAACCCACAGAAGTGTATGCATATGGATATGACTTTAGTTAGTACTTTTTACAACTCAGCATGCTTGGGCAAACTCATTTGCATTTGTTTCATCTATTAAATGTTTTAATTTTTTTTTTTTTTTTTTGGAAAACATTTTCCAAAGAATGCCTTCAGATTCTGAACTCTTCCCAGGCTTTTCTGGAATTGCATCTAAGTCTGCTGAGGCACCATTTCAGCCAGACCTGTGCAGTCCACATTCCCCAGCACTGTCCCCACTGTCACTTTCCCCTTCTCTCATGATTTTCCCCTTTGAATAAATCTGAAACCTCAGAAATTATGTACTGAACTGTTTTCCAACTTAATTTCCATTCTTAGGGAAATGCCTGTATAATCCCCTTGATTGCAAAACACACCTGAAAGATATGAATTGAATATACTGAGCCATGACACACCTAATTAATCACCTTTAATTATCGAAAAACATCTCATTACATTTTTATTTAAAATAGAAAGATGAGATTGCTATGATGATATTTAAAATTTTATAGGTATTTTTGGAAAAGTCCTTAAAACTCCTTCCTAGCCCTCTGCCCTAATTTGTCTCAATTTACTTCACCTGAAGTGATTATTCAGTTTTTAAGGTAGGAAATCTAAAAAAACTGCTCCAATTTTTTTTAAAAAAGAAAGTTAAAATGTAAGCTTAAACTAGTTTAGGTTTTCTGGTCCTTAATTATTTATTTATATTGATACTCCTAAGATAGATTTCTTAGTTTCCCTTTTAAAACATTGGGGATAGTGTCAAATGTAGTGGGGACCTGTCTATACTCTGTTAGAATTTGTTTAGAATTATTGCCCATTCACCAAGTAAGCTGGTTACCTCAGGACCTCAGTACATTTCCATAAATACAGTTGACCCTTGAAATACACATAGGTTAAGGATGCTGCCCCCTTGCGTAATTGAAAATCAGTGTATAATTTTTGACTGCCCCCAAACTAAACTGCTAATAGCCAGCTTCCTTTTGACCCTAATCCTTAATACATACTTGAAAGTTATACTTATTATATACTTTTTTATTTCAATAAAATAGAGTAGAAAATATTGAGAAAAATCAAGAAGAAATGTATTTACAGTGTCATACTGATTTTGATACCTTGCATTAACTTCATCTGTTAATAAGAAAATTCCTGTATTAAGTGGTCCCATGCAGTTCAAACCCTTATTTTCCAGTGGCCAACCATACTTAGTGAAATATATAATGCTTATGAGCATTTATTTTATCATTTCCATTGTCATCTTAACTGAGAATCCATTGTTTATACTTAGAGCTGAGCTTTTGTTCACATCACCCTTGTGGATTTGGCAACATGTTGAGTCAAATGGCATCCTCCAAATATTTAGAAGTTACTTGATTAGAGTTACACTAACTGCCTTGATATAACTTGATCTATGCTTTATGATCCTTTCTCGTGAATTTGAAAATTGTTAGGAGAGTAGACCTTGTTTTCAACACAAGAAAAAAATGTATATATGGTAATGTATGCTAACTTGGGAAAAAAATGACCTCAGTGAATTACCACAATAGAATTTTATTTCTTGCTCATGTGGTAGTAATGTTCCAGTGCTAGTGTTTGGTGAGACCTTGTACACAGGAATTTAGGAGCACAAGCTCCTTCTATCTTGAGGTTCCGCCATTCCCTTTGGGTCTGGATAGGCAAAGGAGACAGGGTCACACTAGGGAGTTTTCAAGGGCCAGATTTGAGAAGGGTACTGCACGTTTCTTCTGTCCACATCAGTAACTCAGTACGTGGTCATATGGCCACACCTGACTGCAGTGGGGCCTAGTTATCTGACAAGGAGAAAAAGGAAATGGATGTTTATGGGCACATAACAGGGGTCGAACTTGCCCTTTAACCTTAACATATTAACGGGCTTTGCTTCTTTACTGTGGCTTTGGTTCAAATGCAAAATATAATAGTTTTGAAACTGTTGTTTGACCTGTATACTCTGCTGCCACCTACTGCTCAAATTTGAAGTGTTTTGTGTTGTTGTTTTTTTCTTTTACTTTTAAAGATCATTCATGTAACTTTCCTGGATCACTTGTTAAATATACTGACTTCTGAATAAAATAATTTGGAGATTCTGAAACAGTATATCTATGTGACATTAAGCATCCATTCATAGCGGGTAGAGCAGTTAGCAGTCATGACTAAGAGACTTACGGTGCAATATCCTTGTTTTCTCTTAAATTTATACTCAATTATAGTTTCCCTTAAGAAATCACCTTCTAAAATCTGTGGCTTATATGTGGTTATTCAAGATAAAGTTGTATAACCCATCTTTAGTTCTGACTCTTACTGATGTAAGAGCTGTTGACTTCCAGTTTTACCTCAGTACATCTATTTTTCTAGGGGGAGTCTAGCCTCCTAAGAATTTTCTCTTGTTTAATTTCTTTCTTTTTGTGAGATAACAGATAAATTTAAAAAAGCCTTTTTAAAAATAATATAGTCTCCGACTATGGGTGTATATAGGATGTATATAGTACCACAGCTTTTTCTAGGAAGTTGGAATCAAAGATTTTTCATATTCTTTTATCATGAACTATAAATAGATACCTACAACTTTCAGTCAGAAAGGGGGTCATTGAAATGTTTGCATTATTATAAATAATTCTAGTGATATTTGTGACATACTATTTAGTGTTGGTTTTTTTTTTGTCACTTAGGATTCTAAACACTGAAAAAAAGCAATGTCTGATTATGAGTCAATCTGACCCTTTTCAAAGGGATTATGTTATTTGGTCTGAGCCCTAAGAACCCTGGAATACAAGTTGTAATAAGGCCAATCCTTTTCTCCCTGTCTTCTGCCTGCAGTGATTCGGACCCTGGCTCGAGGCAGTGGCCAGAGTCTGACACGTTTTCTGGCTCCCAGTCCCCGCAGTCTGTGGGAAGTGCAGCTGCTGATAGTGGCACCGAGTGCCTCTCCGATTCTGCCATGGACTTGCCTGATGTCACCCTCTCCCTTTGTGGGGGCCTCAGTGAGAATGGAGAAATTTCTAAAGGTACACTAGGCAGTTGTGACCTGCCTTCACTTCAGGCCTTCCTGCCTTCACATCAGATCAGGCTGCCTGGTCATCACTTGTTTGATAATCTGCTAAATTCTTTAATGGTTATGTGACAAGTGATAGGTATCTCCCTTTGATCTCAGACCCTTAGTCCCTCATTTAGGGTGCCTCATTTGGGGTGACATTACATATAAATGATTTGGGTGTGGGAGTGTGCCTTGAAAGCTCTATTCCACATTAAGAGGTTAAGTTTTCAGATTGCCCTGTTTGCCAGCCCAAGTTCAACTCACACTTAGGTTAGTTTTTCATATCTGTGATGTTGAAATATTTTTGGACTGGAAAACACTGGTTCTTAGACATGAGAGTAGAGCCTGAAGTTGTAGAAAATATATTGTCCCTGAGTAAATGATTTTTCTGGCAAAGAAAGTAGAAAGGATTACTTTCTGTCTCAGACTTGGGAGTTGGTCCAGAAGAGTATAGTTGCTTGAGAGAAAGGAAGGAACTTTACCAGAATATAGCAGATGTCTCTCGTTTGGGTTGAGTACCTATGTGTGTCTGTCCCAAGATCTTTGGCATTTTCAGTTTTACCTTCCCTTGTCAACTAAACTCTTCTTAATATTTTCACATTTTAAGTGGTGGTTCTTGATTGATTTTTGTCTAAGAAAAGATTTTTGTTTCCTTGACTAGCATTTTTGTCTTCTCTCACCCACAGAGCAGCTAAAGGCCTACACATGGCAGACTGAGTACCCTGGGCCTCTGCACTGCTTCTCTGGATCTTTTTTTTTCTTTTTTTAAAGATTCACAGGGGTGCTCATTCTGCCTCTTTCTTTGTCTCTCAGTCCTTTGCTTATTATTTTGCAAAAATTGGTGTTATAGGTAATAATTCTTCTAGCACCAAAAATTTAATAGGTCATTCTTATAATCCTTGTAAGCCCTCACTTAAAAAATATGTGGAATATCTTGTCTGTCTTATCTATGACTCTTTTCCAAATGTAAAGTGTGTGGGCCTCCCCGGTGGTGCAGCGGGTTGAGCACAGCACTGTGAAGCCGTCCCGCAGCCTCTGCAGTGCTGATTTAATTCCCAGCCAGCCAGGGAGATTCCCACATGGCGCAGCACACCTCTCCTGTCTCGCCTGCTGCTCCCCTCAGCAGTGTATTTCGGTCTGTCTGCCTGTTCTGCTCCCTGCTCTGTCTCTGGTGAATCCTCTCACCCTCCACACCTCTGGCCAGAGGTACACCGAAATACACCGCTGAGGGGCGCAGCAGGCAAGACAGGAGAGGTCTGCTGCGCCATGTGGGCCGCTCAGTGGCCAGCTGGGGACCAAACTCATGCTGCAGAGGCTGCGGATTGCTTCATAGTGCGGTGCTTAACCCCTTGCGCCACCAGGGAGGCCCCTGGATTCCTTTTATATCTTTCTCTTGCCTAACTGTTCTAGATAAGACTTCTAATTCTATGTTGAGTAGTAGTGGTGACAGTGGACAGCCTTGTCTTGTACCAGATCTTCATGTAAAAGCTTTCCATTTTTCACCATTGAGAATGATGTTGGCTGTAGATTTGTTGTATCTGGCTTTTATTATGTTGTATTTGTCCCATTTTTCAAGGGTTTTCATCATAAATGGATGTTGAATCTTTTTTTTTTTTTTTTTTTTTTTTTTTTTGTGGGACCCTCGCCAGTGGCCGGGGATCGAAGCGGCACTGCAGAGGCTGCGGGCAGCCTCGCAGCCCAGCACTCAACCGCTGCGCCACCAGGGGAGGCCCTGGATGTTGAATCTTATCAAATGCTTTCTCAGTATTTTTTAAATAAAATCTTACAGTTTTTATGTCTCTTTGTTAATGAGGTGAATTACATTGATTTTCTGATGTTGAGCCACTCTTTTTCCCAGATAAATCCCACTTTGTCATGCTATGTAATTCCTTTAATGCACTGTTGGAGTCTGTATGCTAGGACTTTATGAGGCTCTTTGCATCTGTGTTAGAGAAATTGGTCTGTAATTTTATTTTTTGTGTTGTCTTTGTTTGGTTTTGATATTAGAGTAAAAGTAGCCTCATAAAATTGAGAGTATTCCTTTCTCAAATTTTTGTAAGAGTTTGAGGAGCGTTATTAAGTTTTGTTGTGTGTTTTTTTTTTTTCCTTCCATAAGAGTTTACTTATAGTATCTTCAATACAGAAAGTGTTTTGATAATTTCATATAGGAATTTATATAACGTCTAACCAAATGGATCATTATTATTTTACATTGCAGAAAAATTCATGGAACATCTCATTACTTACCATGAATTTGCAGAAAACCCTGGACTTATAGACAATCCTAACCTTGTAATACGGATATATAACCGGTAAATACCCTTGCTTTTATAATTGTTAAATACTCTTGCAGACTTTTTCCCAAGTACGCTTTTTAACTGTTATAAATTTCCTTCCTGTAAAGTATACTATTCCATCTAAGTCAGTGGACATAGCTTTAAAGTGAAAGTGAAGCCAGTTTTATTTAACTGAAGCAAATGAAATGTTATTCTATCTTTTAGATTGTAAAGCATCTCTTTTCAGAGAGGTTGGTTTGAGATAGAAATTATTCATGACAAAAAACTTACTGAAAAGATTAAGAAATTTTACATTTTTTCCCACTTCTGTTTTCTTCTTCTTTTCCCTACCTTTCTGCCCTTGCTGTCGCTTCTGTTCGTGTAATGGTTTTGCACAATTTTTGTCTCTCACAGTTACTATAACTGGGCCCTGGCTGCTCCTATGATCCTTAGCTTGCAAGTATTCCAGAAGAGTTTGCCTAAGGTGAGATGATCCACCATTTTGTCACCTTTTCAAAATTATATATTCAACATCTAGTAGTATTTAGAAAAATACGTACATGCTTCTAAACCGGGTACTAATCAAAGTTTTGGCTATCCTATAAAATTAATATGATTAAAGCTCCAAAGAATTTTGTGTGCCCACTCAAATGAGCTCATTCCCCAAATCTAGGAAATTAGCTGGTCTGCCACATCTTTTTCATTTTTACTATATATTTATATGATTTCTGATTTTGTATAAAAGTTGAGAGATTTCACTGATTGTTAGATATAGAATGAACAAAAAATAAAACCATTTTCCTCCTATTAGTATGAAAAGAAACAGTTTAAAAAGGTGATGTGACCACCTGAAGTGTGATTGGGTGAAATTGTGGCTAAGAAGCCTGTCGTGTACAACTAAAGTTTTATTTTGGATTTGTTCACCAAGAAGACATCATTGTCCTAGTTGGTCTTGGTAACTCGTGAGAATCACCTTTTCCAAGGTTAGAGAAATGAAAGTAATTCGCCTGACAGGCCCTAAGGATCAGCACCTATGTAGCCAGACCTCCTGGCCTCATACCACATAAGTTCCACAAGGCGCGCTGCTATGGCTACCACATATCTTTCAGAAATGTTAGAAACTCTGGAGGAGTTTGGGGATGCAGAACATTGCTCACATTTCATAATAAGGCACTGCTCTGCAGGCTAATGGTAGAAAATAGATGTTTTGTGACCAATAGCTTGCTCAAATAACCCACATTTTTTTGTTTGTTTGTTTCCAGGCCACTGTTGAGTCTTGGGTTAAAGATAAAATGCCAAAGAAATCCGGTCGCTGGTGGTTTTGGCGTAAGAGAGAAAGCATGACAAAACAGGTAACGGACCTAGAAGTGAGCCTTTCATTTATTTAAAAACCCTTTTTGCCTGGCATAAGATGAGTCATTTTGGGCTTTTTAATGTTCTGTCACCATTCTCAAATAGTTACTGTGCATGGATACTATTCTGGATTCTTTACATTACCTCTCAGCTTTATCACAGTCCAATGATATAGATGTTTGGAATCCCATTTATAAGTAAGGAAATGGGCATAATAAAGAGGCAAAGTATTGGCTTGACCAGGGTACATAACTGGTTTGGGATGGAGCTAGGGTTTGACCTTGAGTAGGAATCCAAAACTGTGCTCTTTTCTACATTGTTGCATTATCTTCTGTGGAAGTAAGAACTTGCTACCCTCCTCCAGAGGGGAGGCATCAGTCACTTCTATTCTGCATCCCACTGTCCCTGCCACGGACCTAACAACTATGGGCCCGTAGTCTATTTTGTGAGTTGAGATGGTGCTCTTTTTAAATTTTTACTTCTGGCTTCATAATAGCTGCCCTTTTTGCATAGTAGTGTAAGATTTCTCTCTTGTTTCTGTCCTTGGCTCAAACCAGAGAATGTCTTTTTCTTGAACATATTTAAGTTATAGATTCAGGGAGCAGTTTTGCTTGTTCTCAGAGAGCAGTGCTGAATTTTTGCTTGTTGGTAGAGGGGACAAATCACACATTACCTTTATTATCTTGCTGTTTCAGCTACCAGAGGCCAAGGAAGAGGGGAAATCTGAGATGCCACCGACCAGTGACCTGCCATCAAGCACAAAGGAGCCAGCCAGTGGCAGGTGGGAGCACCCTGTCCTTCCTGCAGGCTTGTAGCACATAAGCTATCCCTATTTTGACCAATACATTTAATTTTATTTTGACAGTTTTGTTTAATAAGAAATATCTTTCCATATGGACATACATGACAGTAGCAGCTGCCACTCAGTTAGCAGGTGATAACTTCTGCTTTTCAAAAAAAAAAAAATATATCACCCACTTAGAGTAAATACACACATTAATGCTTCCTACATACCTTGGTCCCATCCTGGAATCATAACTTGGATGCCTGTGAAACGTAGGCCTTTGGGAAAGGGAGCTCAAGCCTTCAAGTGTACTGTCCCCATTACTCCCTGGCTCCCCTTCAAGCTCAAAACAGATAAGAAAGAGCATCTTAAAGGATAGTGTGGGTCTCTCATATTTCCTGGCAGCAGTAACACCCATTTGGACATTTGGATTGGCTTGCTTGAGAATGGATGCTACCATACACCCCATTCTTGTTTCTGCCATCCATCCATCACCCAATTTTTTTTTTCCCATTCCTAAACTTTAATAGTCTAAAGCTGGGAGTTGATTTTCTTTTTCTTTACCTGGGAGGGGGTGTGTAATAAATCTTACTAGTTTTCTAAGTAATGTAAGCAGCTATGTTTTCTTTAATTGTACTTTTTGAAGCAACATAATCCTTTTCAACAAGAGTTAGTAGTCCTCATAGCATCATTGGTCATAGCAAAATAATGATCATTCTTCACCAGAGGTAACTGCTGGCCAATCAGGAGAGGTAGGAGGAAGGTGACATTATTATCACTTCATGATATAAATATTAAGGCATGGGAGACAGTAGAGGGAACAATTCTCCCCATCCCTAGAGTGTATTTAGGGTTTTTGTTTTCTTGATACTGAATGAAACTCTGGTCAATATGACACCCTGCTGCCTCTTCGGTAATTGGGTTGATGTTGAATAGGCCGGCTGAGGATGACTCATCCAGTGATGAGGGGTCACAGGAGCTTGAAGAATCAATCAAAGTGGACCCTGTTGCCACAGACCCCACAAGCCACAGCACTGCAACCTCATATAAGAAGTCTCTTCGACTCTCCTCCGACCAGATTGTAAGTTGTGTGTGATCCGTGTAGGTGTGGTCAGAATCTCTTAGTAACTAGTTAATTGCAAGAGTGTCCTCTTCTGTCCCCACCCATCCCAGGCTTTACACACGCTACAAGGTGTGTGACCCTATAAATGTTCATGCATCTCCACCCTCAGGATCACCTGCGGGAGGGACCTGGAGCACTGTATACTTCACCCCAGATCATCCTCCTCTTGTCTCTAGGGATGAACCAAGACTTTTTTTAACTTGGGCCACTCCTGTCTCTTGGGAACCTCAGCAATAGAAATGATATTTTCTACACAGTAATCCCTTACCTGTCTCCTGTTCCCTGGCTTTCACTGTGGACTGTTCTTGCTATGCCCAAGGCAGTCTCCAGAATAGAGAAGAGCATTACTGCAGTCAGGATGGCTGTGAGCAAGGCCCACTCGGTGCCGTATGTTGTGTGCTATCGTGGCAGAGACCATGCTGCTTTGGGCTGGGTCCTCACACCCGCTGCTGGTTGATTATAAGTGTTCACTGTCTGTTCCTGGTTTTAGTTGATTTCCTTTTCCTTTTCTTATTAAAGTGTTATTTATGTAATTTTCCCCGTTCTTTATGTTTATACACGAGTGTGCACATGCATGTGCACAGCCACATTGTAGAGATTCAGATCCTTTTCATGTCACATTATTGGGAGATGTGACTTTCAGTTGTTGCAAGTAATTCCATCAGAGAGATGTGCCATTAATTTTCAGAATTCTGGCAGCACTCCTGCTCATCTGTGACTATGCAGGTGCCTCCCTTTTTCTTTCTCCTCCTAATAACTTGTCCTCTTAAAATGTAAAAAAAAAAAAATTTTTTTCCTCAAAGTTCTCCCTCAGTGATTTTCTTTCATTTTTCTACTTTTTATAAAAGGCAAAACTGAAGCTCCAAGATGGTCCAAATGATGTTGTGTTTAGTATTACAACTCAGTATCAAGGGACCTGCCGTTGTGCAGGGACCATTTACCTGTGGAACTGGAACGACAAGATTATCATTTCTGATATTGATGGAACAATAACCAAGTAAGCAGGAGTCTGTGGAGGGTGGCAGGGAGTGGGGATGCACAGGTCAGTTTTCTGGGAGTATCCTTTGCTGGGCATCCAGCTCTGGCCTTGCGTACAAGAACTGGAGTGCAGGCTAGAGGTGTGGGGTTGAGAGGATTCACCAGAGACAGAGTAAGGAGCAGAACAGGCAAATGTACTAAAATACTCTGCTAAGGGAAGCAGCGGGTGAGACAGGAGAGGTCTGCTGCGTAATGTGGGTCAGCTCCCTGATTGGGGATTGAACTAGTTGCAGTGGCTGGCGATAGCTTGGTAGAGCTGTGTCTTTAACCCTTGCGCCACCAGGGAGGCCCTATTGGGAGTGTTTTAAAACTCTGCACTGAAATATCCTGAATGGAGTAATTTAATGGAAGGGGGAGATGGGCGGAGCCACACAAATGTAACATCAAAAACTCCTTGAAAGGATGTAGTTTCTTGATTTCCAGATTATGGTGTTGGTTTAGGAAAAAAGGAAAGCTGTTGCGATGAGGGAGAGTGAAAGGATGACTCATTTTAAGTTTTAAGTTATCTGCGGATAAATGTCTGGTGGCTCTTGTGTCTGATTCCACTTTTAGAAGCTCCTCAGTGGTGTCTTTACAGGGAACTGCCTCACTGCTGCATAAGCTGTAATGAAGTGGCCTTTGTAAACTGTCCTCCCACCTCCTTCCTGTGTATTTGGCATATGGTATTTATTGACTTTTATATACTTGATTCCTGATGCCTTTTCCTTTTTCTCTACCCTCTTAGATCTGATGCTTTGGGACAGATTCTTCCACAGCTGGGTAAAGACTGGACTCATCAGGGGATAGCAAAGCTCTACCATTCCATCAATGAGTAGGTATCCCATCCCACATGTCAGCATGAAGTTCACATTAGGAACTGGAAGTTGTGTGTACATGATGCAGTTCTTCCTGATCTTCTTTGCCACTCCTTTTCCTTGTAATCTCACAGAAAAAGTAGTTGCCACCATTTATGAATATGAGCTGTGTGCTTCACAGTGCATTGTGGTTTACCTATGGCATCCCATTTTCACAATGCTGTGATTTTAGGCACTGATTATATCTGTAGTTACAGCTATGGCTAGTGGGTTTTTTATGCTGCAATTTAACAAGATAGCCAATTTTCATGTTTAGCTTATTAACTGGGGATTTTTTAGTTATATTTCTTTGGGTAGGAGACATGTATGTATGGGGGAAATAATTTACCCTTTGGATCCTCTCTGTTAGGATACTTTTCAAGAGGAAATAGATCCTAACACATGGATTAAATTGATTTTCAAAATTACAACTTTCTTAAGCATAGTTGAAGATGAAATATGAAAATTATGAGTGTTTCAGTTATCCAGGTTTAATTTTTCTCCTTGTCCTATAGAATGATTTGCATTCTGCAAATTGTTTTTATAAATATTTTGCCTTTGGGACCTCCCGGTGGCGCAGCGGTTGAGCGCTGGGTTGCAAAGCTGCCCTCAGCCTCTGCAGTGCCGGTACGATCCCCAGCTGTTCCCCGGCCACCGGAGGAGGGTCCCACATGGCACACAGACCTCTCCTGGCACCTGCTGCTCCCCTCAGCAGTGTACTTCGGTCCTTCTGCCTGCTCTGCTCCCCGCTCTGGCTCTGGTGAATTCTCTCACCCTCCTGCGCTTCTGACTGTACCCAGTGCTTGTATAAATAAATAAATCTAAAATAAATAAATAAATAAAATAAAATAAAAATATTATAAATAAATAAATATTTTTCCTTTATAGGAGATAATTTACTTACTCATTTAGCATAATCCCTAGTTGAGTATACCTCCATTTTCTCCCATGGTATTTTCCATGAAAAGATGTGAACTTAATAGTCCTAACTATTTTCAAGAATTTGATTTTCCCAGTAAATGATAGGGACTTTATTTAGATCTTTTAAAAGAAAAGTGCTGTTTTCCCCTTTAATCTGAGCATATGAAATAATGAGGGCACATTCTCTTTCAGGAATGGCTACAAGTTTTTATACTGCTCTGCCCGTGCCATCGGCATGGCTGACATGACGCGTGGCTACCTGCACTGGGTCAATGACAAGGGCACAATCTTGCCCCGTGGCCCTCTAATGCTGTCTCCCAGCAGCTTGTTCTCCGCCTTCCACAGGTATGTCTTTGTGTCCTGTGGGCAGCCATGTGGCTTCTGCACGTGGCCTGAATGCACCGTGTGAGGGCAGATGTCAGACTCCTTCTAAGGTGTTTCAAACCATCTGTGTCTCCTAACTTAAACTCAGCTCACCTGGCCTATGTCAGACTTGTTCCCAAAAAGTCAGGTTTACAGGTTTTTCTCCTTTCCTTAACCCCCATCTCTCAATTTGTTTTAGTCATCAGATTAACTGGCAAAGAAGGAAAAAGGTACCAGTTATAAAGGACTAAAAATATTAGGTGCCAGCACTAAAATCTCTCTAGGCCCACATATGAGGGAAAACTCCCATTTTGAGTTTGCTGACTTTCTTTTCCCCCCAGGGAAGTGATAGAAAAGAAGCCAGAGAAGTTCAAAATTGAGTGTCTAAATGATATCAAGAATCTGTTTGCCCCATCCAAGCAGCCCTTCTATGCTGCCTTTGGAAACCGTCCAAATGTAAGTGTCTCTTTGGGGCTACATGTTCCGATGTGGGTGAAATTCAGAGGAATATACTCTTAGGGTATAGCCCTGTTGCAATTCACCAGCCAGTCTTATGGGCAAAGTGAATGTCTGTTCTGCTAAGTAGGTTTTCACTTAGCTCCAGATTTCTGTGGCAGTTGAGAAAGTCTGATGGGTAAAGATAAGTCCCAGAATTTTGTCTCTGTGGCTTCTTTTGCATTTCCTCAGACAGTCCTGATTCATATTCTAAGTGGTTCTAAACAAGGAACCCTCCCACTTCATGGAGATTGAAATCCACACTACTGGAAGACCACTGGACTAATGAGGAGATCTAAGTGGTTCTAAAAACTCATATTCTAAGCCATGTCCTTGGATCTGCCCCTAAACCACAGCGTGGTGCTCACACTTTATTAACACTTCGCAACCTGCCTCCCTTCTGCCATCAGGTCCCTGACATGTATGAGCTGCTGATCCCTAACCCCTGACAGGCAATGGTTCCCCTTGGCTCCCAAGTTTCCGACTCCCTGAGCTCGGGATGGGCTCCACTCTTCAGGTCCTGTTTGTCTCATGCTCATTGTCCGTGGCAAGATTGCTGTGCCCAGCTCCACATGCTTCCTATGGAGTCTTCTGTTTATGCAATTCTACTGGCTAACAACAAACCAGAGAAGCATTCCCTAATTTCTTCCTATAATCATCCCGCTGATGTTTCTTCCCTAGGATGTCTATGCTTACACACAAGTTGGAGTTCCAGACTGCAGAATATTCACCGTGAACCCCAAGGGTGAATTAATACAAGAAAGGACCAAAGGAAACAAGTCATCGTAAGTGCATTCCCATTTCCCAGCCTAATGCCCTCCAGCTAGGGGTTAAGTTAGGAACACAGATACTAAGGGTCAGGCCCAACTCAAAGTGCCAAAATTGCACCTGCCTTTGGAGACCTTTTCTTTGCTTGGGTGTTTTCTCCTCTAGGGTAACTTTTTACGGGATCAGGGATTATTTTAGACTATAAAGAGGAAGCCCTGTCCTGGGAAGGGGATTGGTGCCTATCTTGGATTATAAATGATTAACTGGCTTCATACCCTACAGTGTTACACCCTTAAATCAATTTCAAAGTAACACTTTGTGTGTTTCTGTTCCAATCTCTTCTCTTAGGTATCATAGACTGAGCGAGCTCGTGGAACACGTGTTCCCACTTCTTGATAAGGAACAGAATTCTGCCTTTCCGTGCCCGGAGTTCAGCTCCTTCTGCTACTGGCGAGAGCCAATCCCCAAAGTGGACCTGTATGATCTGGCCTGAGGCAGCACCTCCACAGTGAGGTCCTCAAAGCCCCTTGTAGCAAAGGAAGGTAACTGGCACTTCTGCTGGACAGAGGACACTGGGCTACCCTCCAAGCCACGGGTACAGGACCAGACACGTGTTGACAGCCAGCACCAGCTTTCTGGAGCAGGAACGGGGCACCCTCCTGGACCTGGAACTGACGTTCTCCCCTTTCCTGGGCTCTACAGGCTCTGCAGCTCAGTGCCTGGGAGAAAAGTGTGGGAGCTCTGACCTGAAGTTGGAGGCCCTGGGCTCCTGTCACTGTTGGTCCTCGCACACTCTGTTGAGTTGTGTGCTGGGTGCTCCTTTATTGAATAATTTAAAAGGAAGAAAAAAGAAGCTAAATAAGAGTGGACCCAAAACATTGCACAAAGTAAAGTTATAATTTCCACTGGGCAGTTAAGAGTGTCTCTCTCTAAAAGCAGGGCTTTCTTCAAGGGATCAGGGTCTGCTGAACTGCTCTACACAGTTAATGATATGGGTTCAGACTGCCTGTGCTCATTTCTCTGTTGTCTCCTCCTCCTCTGCTACACTTTCCAGGACTGCTGCTTGCCTGGGCCGGCCTGACAAGGGCCCCCAGTGCCACTGAGCCTGACCCCACAAATGTGGGCTTCTGAGGAACAGTGGCCACTTAGATCAATGCCTTCTTGTCTGACTACTCCATGATGAGATACCCTTAAGTTCTTTTTTGGACCTAGCTAGAAACAGATCTTGCAGGATACATGTGGTATTAGTAAGGACAGTACTAATATTAGGTAGGCGTTGGTTAAACAGAAAACAATGCTGTTTGCAGGGATGCTTTGGAAATGCGGGTGTACAGTTGGGTCCAGGAAGAGTCCTTTTCTCAGTCCTCCCTGCAGCTCACTGACCCAGGCTGGTTGTGATGAGCGCCTGTGGTCGTGTCCCATCAGACCCTCCAGAGTTGTGAGCGGTCAGGCTGTTGACAGTCCTTCTCATTAGTGAAATGAGGGAGGCACCAGAAATGATCAGACACAAGCCTGTGTCGGTGAGAAGGTAGTGAACAGGGTTCCAGAACGAGTGGGCGCTACAGGTACAGATTCAAGCTCAGGTGGTTCCACTGCCCCCTGTTTGTGTGGAGGGCTCATCTTGATTGAGTGTGTTCCCCAAAGTAAAACTTATCTAGAGATGGAGGAAGTGGGGGTGGGTATTTTTCCAGATTGGAGAGTTGAAAGTCCCTGGCTTAGTTCAGCCGTTGTTCTTGGTGCAGTTGGCTGCAGACACAGCAGGGAAGTCCTGGCACACGGTTCCCTGGCCGCGCCGCTGAGCCTGTGTTCTCAGAGGGACGCGTGCTTCCTGTAGCCCAAAGCTTTCCCCGGAGTAGTTCAAGGACTGATGGTTTAAGGAGTTTATGGGTTAGGGATGCCACTCTATTTATGTGACGTCCTGCCCAGTTAGTGAATCCTTGGGAGCAGCTGGTCATGCAGGTACCTCATCCCGTTGTTGCTGTCAGCACTTCTTCGTGGCTGTGTTTGCTTTTGAAGAACGTGGGCTTTCCATGCTTAGCCCGAATGTCATCGGGCTTCTTTGCCTAAGTGCAGCACAGAAAACCTTAGGAGCCTTCTGTTGTCCCTTTTTGGTGGTCCTTTAAAGAGTTTTTGCTAGACAGTTTCTTTTTCTTGATAAGCGCTTCTCTCTGAACACATGGGTCTTAGAGGGACCAACCTGGGAACCCAAGTCCCCTGTGCCTGTGTCGAGGGTGACTGTCCCTGTCCCCATGTCCATAAACCCTAGCCTTTGTCATTTTTGTTACTGCAGATGGATCCAGTGGGTACAATGCTAATTAATGTGAGTCTTTTTCCTTATTTAAAGGAGTCTCTCTTGCTGAAAGTAGATGATTACTATTAACTATAGTGTTATGAAAGTATTAGGTTTGTGCTGAAAATCCATTGCCATTTGGTACAAATGACATTTGTTCTTTCTGTGAAAGAGAGATGCCCTCGAGTGTGTGTGTACACAGACCCTCACAATGGTGGGTTATGAAGAAGTGTTGCCTCGCGCTGTTGGCGGCAGATGGGATCTTGGATAGTTATGGTTCTTCTCGGTGGTTCCACTGCTGAAATGGCAATGATCCCTGCCCCTCTTTCCACTTCACCCTGACTTGAGCATTTGCCTCGATATCTGCATGTTGAGGTTCAAAGGCTGTGGTGGCGACAGCCTCACCAGCGGGCCAGGCGTGTACACTTAGCCCGTGTGAGCACTGTCTGCTGCGCTTGAGCGCCTCCGCGTGGTTTTCAACCGGAAAAAGAAGAGCACCCTCGTCTGAGGCCTGACTTGAGCTGCCAGCTGTCAGGGAGGAGCTGAGCAACGGCAGCCGGCGGGAGGGCGGGAGGCGCAGCGCCGGCGCGCACACCTTCTGATCATGTTCTTGACAGGTAGAGAGGAAACACTTTGTCTTATTGCAAGTAGGCAAAAACGGATGCTTCCAGGGAGTTTTATCATGTTTCCAATTGTCATAATATTTACTCTGGGAAGCGTTGTTTTCCCCTATTTCAGAGCATGTTGCGTTTGATGAAGCTGGTTAAAAAATTGAGTGTTTAAAGTGGTGCTCTTTCCAGGTGAAAACTGCTTTTTTGGTTTGTTTTGAAGGTAAAAGGAGGGGAAAACTTTGCTCTTTTAATTTAAGAATTACATGCAGTCTATGATGAAGTATATGATTATTAGCAATGCCACTAAATTTTTAAGTTGTAAGAAATTAATTGTAAACATCATCAGTCCAGTCCTTTGAGTTATGGCACAGACCGTTGTCTTAAGATGACTGACTCATTTTGGTGCAGTGTTTGATGTTCAAAAAAAAGGTTACAACAATAAACAAACATAAAAGGGTGCATTTGACTCTTTCCTTCAAAAGACATTTAAAGCAAATCTTCTCTCGACTCCTGCCAGACGTTGGATAATTTTCATAAATTAACATTTTGATCTTTGCTGGCACTTAAATTCATCTGTAGGAAGGACTTCTTTGTAGTGCTTATGTTTGTAAAACCTGACTCCAAAAGCTAGGCTATGCCAGGGGAACTAACCTCTCCCTTTGTAGGTTCTGCCAGGGAATGAGTCACTCATACATATGTAATTTCTGGTGTATTCTCACAGGCCTCTAGTCCTGCTCTGTGCCCTTCTCACTGTTCATTAAACTCTTCCTCAGGGTGAAAACTACTCAGAAGAATCAAAAATGATCTTGGATCAAAAACCATATCCCACAGGTTATATGACTAAGTATCTCTTTATGCCCCCACACTCTAGTTCCACAAGATGGGCATGTGCGAACTGTATCAGTGCCGAAAGTTCTCCTTGACAATGTGCCTTCTGCTGTGGAAAGCTTTCGTTTCATGATTCTTCCCCATGACACGATGGCTGGGTGAGAGCTCAGACGGGTTCCTTAGGAAGGAAATGATTCCCGAGGATTCTGGCTCAGCCAGCTTCCTCCTGCCACCTTGGAGTTGCGCGTCTCCTTTCCCTTTCCTCCCCATTGAGGAGCTGATACGGGTATGTTTGTAAAGTGGGTGTGGATGTGTGCAAAGCAGTGTTTTACATCTGCAAGCAAAGATATGGTTATGCCTTTGGTCACAAATACTTGCACTTCTTTCAAACTGTAAATTGGGAGAAACCATTCAAAAGATTGCCTCACTGAGAAAGCTAGATGAACGTGCTAATTGTGGGAGTAATTTCAGATGCAATTGACATTCTTTACTACCGGTATTGTACTGTTCATTATGTAAATGAGGCCATTTGCTACTCTTCCAAGTGGGGAAAATGTCCCATTCCTGGCGCTCTTGACGTGAACCCTGAGCTAAACTGACCTTGCCTGTTCTCTGTGCAAGAGCACTGCCTGCCTGCAAACCATGCCAGCGCCAAGGTAGGCTGTGGCCTGGCTTTCATCCTATCTGGAGTCAGCACAGGAACCTGCTGTGATTAGACTTACTCTACTCTGCCTGTCTTGGCTAAAGAGCTGAAAGTCAACTTTTTCGGTAAATGAGTCCTCAAGATGCACTGAGAGAGAACCATCGGGAGGAATTAAAAAGCCACTATCTTCTGTCTGGTTCCAGCGTTTCTGACTGTTGAGCATTTGTTCCCTTGGCACTGAGTGAGGTCTTTAAACAAGGGTGTGAGGGTGAGTGGGTGAGGGCACGTGCCAACTGGGTTTCCTGAAAATGCTCTAGTGCACTAGGGCTTTTTATGAGTCATTTCTAGAACTGCCTACAATATGGTGCCAGCCACCATCAGCCAGTTCCCAGCTGGAGAAGTGAGGTACTACTGCCATTCCCTGCTCACTGAAACAACAAATCTTCCATTCTTGATCTCTTCTCCCTAGCTGGAGAGGGGACAAGAAAGCTCTGACGTGCCCAACAGCCCCTCTAGTCCTCATTTGCAAGCAGACCTGGAAACTTCAGATGTTTGCAGCATGAGAGTATCTGGCAGCTTCACTCAAGTCAAGGGAGCTTGTTTCTGCTGTCTACATCTTCCCCGAAGCTCTGGGCCAGGACTTGCCTTCCTGGTGGCACTGGAGTGGCCAGCAGTTTTATCAAGCTGATGTGAAAGGAACACCTTGAAGCCATGGCTGTGAACGAGGAACGTGTCAGGCACCTCGGAACAAGAACATACTCTGTGAGCTGCGTCCTTCTCTTACATGATCTCGGCTGCCAATGTGTGATCGGTTTTGTGTTAGTTTTCTTGTTGCCTGGGAACTGGAGACTTCTTTGAGCTGCTGTGAGCTGTGCAGCGAGCCATCTCATGCCCTTGGACAGCTGCTATGAAGTAAGTTTTTAGCACGCCCCAGAGAAACCCCTCTTAGCTGCAGGATCACATGGAGCCTTGATCTTCAAATACATCTGCTATGTCCTCACAAGCCCAAAACAACCCAAATGTACAACTTGAGACCTTCAGGGTAACAGGTCGAATAATTTATTCAAGCAGCCATTAAAAAAAGGTAACCATCTTTCTGCTATTTGCTTTTTAGTCATAAAGCACCAGACTTGAGTTACTCCAAGATTTGGACACTGGAAGGTTTTAAATCTTTATTGATGCTCCCTGTCTTTGCACATCAATTGTACATGTCATTCAAGGAGCCCAGACAGCCACAGTTTCACATCTCCACACAGGCCCAAGGTCTGTGTGGCAGCACGTGCACTGGAGCACTTCAGTGTTTAAACTTTTCTCCTTTGTGCAGTTAAATACAAAGACAGCGGACAACAGTTCTGCCCTCCAATGAAGACTAGCCACAGGCACCACATTTCGCCAGCCTGCCCTCCTCTCAGACCTGCAGCCTGGCGCTCTTCCCCAGCAGCAGGATGTGGTCGCGTGGCCCTGTGGAAAGCAGCGTAAAGCACCCTGTGCGCCCTGCCCAGGTCTCAGAGCAGTACTCAGACCCCCAGGTTGGGAGGGAGTCTAGCTGGCAGGGGCAATTCCAGTTCTCCGGTCAGAGTGACAGCATCAGTGGCCACATGTTTCACTTCGCTCTGAGGAGACTCTAAGGTGCGCTGGCCTCAGCCACCAAGCAAGGCCTCTATCTTGGGGGAGGTGGTGGGAGGTCTGCAAAAACTAGACCAGTGCTCCAGTTACTTACATTAACTGAATATATTAAATAAAGCTTTGAGTTCTCGCAGCTCTCGCCTGCTGCCCTAGAGGTGGGGAAGGGAAGGATATAGGAAAACCCCACTGAATGTGGAGTACATCTCATCAAAGTCGGTGTGAGCCAGCCTGCCCCCAGTCACCACGATGTTGACACTGTCTCCTGCCTTCAAGTGCACAATCAGGTGGAAGGCCCCTGGGCCCCCACAAGTGTGCAAAGCTCCTTGGGGCCGGTGGTACTCCAGAAATTCTCTCTTGTAGCCGGCGGTGTGCAGCTGGGCCACGCTGGCATTGGAGACCGAAAGGACGGCTTCCACATACGCGTCTCTCTCAGGAGTGAGGGTCGCTGTGATCAGGTAGCGCCCGTCAAAGGGGGCCGTGAAGATCCCTGGAGGAGGAAGCAGACACTCAGGTAGGTAGTGCTGTCACAGCCCTTCACAAGGCCCACCTCGGCTTACAGGGACTGCCCTGGTTTTAGCGCTCAAAGTCCTGGGAATGCCTAGAGAGGTCACCCTACCTGGATACTGCCCTTTTATATGGTACCCCTCTCATGCCAGCACACACCGCAAGCCCCCAGGGTTTCACTGTAATGAGATTCACCTCACAGCCACAGCCCTGGGAACAAGGTGTCTCTTTGTACACGGCCCATGGAGAGAACTACTGGATGAGACATTCCTAGCTACTAGATCTATTGTAATACCGTGGGCTTGAGGCCCAGCTCTGCTTCTACCTCACCTAAGTTTAATGGGAGAGCAGCAGCCAGACTCTAGGGAGCTTTCTCCATCGTTAAAGGCATCCAAGGCCAACAAAAGTCAGGCTCATGGTTGCTGGACTTAATGTCCATGAAACACCTGTCCTGCCTGAAGAGGCAGAGCCAAAATAATATCAAGCTGTCACTAATCCAAGAAGAGAAGATGGCAGCAAACAGTCCCGGGAGGTCCCAACCCGCCCTCTGTGTTGGGCCATATACAGCTGAGATCCAGTCAGGGCTATACGCTGCCAGTCACTGAGCCAGTGTCCCACAGGTCTGGACCTGAGGCGGAGGGCAGTGGGGAGACTGTGAGGAAGCAGAGGTAAGATGTAGATATGTGCTGTCTATAGCAGAGCAGCTGGAGGGCACAGAGATGCTGCCCGTGGCTCTGGGGAGCATGCTAGGCATGAGCTGTTAACAAGCAGCTGGAATAGAGGGCCCGGGAGGGTGACAGCATCTGAGTCCTGGACCTGCAGCGTGCCCCCCAGAAACTGCCAGCTCTGAATAGTGATAGAAAGCTCCTGGGGGATTCGTGGGGCACCTGGGCCCTGAGAACAGATCCATCCCAAAAGCACAGTGCTTTTATCTCTGCTGCGACTGCCTGGGGGGACACCCTGCTCAGCTTTACCCAGAATTTCCTTTATCAAGGCCTGGCAGGAAGGGTGCGCATGAAAGAAATGTAGGTCACCCAAAGGTCACCCAACTAGAGGACTAGACAAGTCATCCCACCACCAAGCAGCACTGAGAGAGGCTTGCAGAAAGCTGTGCTGGAGCTGAAAACAGGTGCGGCTCACACCGCCTGCCTCTGCACCTGAGAGCAGGGAGGATGACTGGAGCCCCGTATTCCCACCCCTGCAGGTGACTTGTGCGCATGCTTAACCACTGTCCTAGGAACAGGTGGGATTGAGCCAGATGGTGACCAGACAGGCCAAACTTCCCAAGGAATTCAAAATCCCATCTCTGGTGGGAGGAGGCCATGGCTAGGCCATGTCTAGCCTGGTGGGAAGGCAGAAGCCTGCCCCACAGGCCCCGGGGTCACTTCTGTGCCCACTACCCTCAGCAGGCATCCACTTAACTGGCTCTGTTCTAATGAAACCAGGAGCTTGGGAAGGAGGTGGAACATGGATGGTCTTGTCCCAAGTGTTCCGATGGTCATCAGATACTGAGGGGGAGGGGCCCCGGGTGGCTGGGGGTGAGGGGAAGGCACTTGGGAGCACCATGGCACAGGGAACTGCAGAGCGTGACCACTGCCACGAACAATGATTCCCGAGCTGGGCGCTGAGGGCTGCGATGAGCTCACACACACCCACACCCATCCTGCAGCCTGCGAGCTGGAAACCACTTCCTAAAGTCCTACAAAATGAGGAAGGGTGACTGGCCAGCTCTCCCCGGGCCCTGGGTGGTGCCCGCCTGGCCTGGAACCAGCGGGAGTGCAGGACCCGCCCACACTCACCAGTATCAGGGTTGTACACGTTCCCGTCGTTGACCAGCACTTTGTTAAAGAGGACGACGCCCCCCTCACTGGGAAAAGGCTTCTGGGTCAGCCCCGCAGAGAAAGACACCACAGAAGGCACCGGAAGCCCTGCAGCAGAAAGAGGACCCAGGTGACCAAAGACTCCGGGGGGCAGGAGTTGAGGAATTGGGGCCTGGAGAGCCCCAATTCTGTGTGTGCCATAGGGACATCTGCTCACCACGTCATTCTTGTTAGACACCGAGGGGCAGTCACGTCTTCATGCCCAAGGCCAGACTGATGTGGCGTCAGCAGTCAGGACAGCTGGGCAGTGGGGCAGGCATTTGCTGGAAGTGGGAGGGGGTCTGTGCACACGCTGCGTGCATACACACATGCATGGAGAAGTGGGTGATGGGAACAGTCTAGGGGGCTGCTTGCTTATTAAATCAGTAAAACCTGGACCCCAGGAAACGTGGTTTGCAGAGGCCCAGCCCCAGGGCTGGTGGGAGGGAAAGGACCTGGCCCATTCTCCACTCCTGCTAGCAGCCAGGAGGGAGGAGGCTGCAAGGAGAAGCAGCCTTGCTTCTTGCTCCTGCTCTCTTAGCATACGTACCTGGGGAGGCTGCAGGAGGCGACTTGGGGTATCCTGAAAGACCAAATGGGAAAGAAATGTCAGACAAAATCCTAAACACCCATTTCTCCCTGCTCCTCCCAGTCTTTAAAGAGACCTAGATGGAGCGAGGGCACCCACTCGGAGTCGCTTTCCTAGAAGCAGGTACAACTGCACCCCCGGTGCCTGCTTCCTCATGAGCCCAGTCTCCCTGGGGGTGAACTGGCTGGAGAATACAAGGAGAAAGACGTGCTATTGGAGCTTGGGGAGCCAGCCAAGGAGAAGTCTACACACACCACCTGCCACGTTTGCCCTCTAGGAGCATCGTCCAGCTAGGCTGGAGGCAGCACTGGGTGCTTAGGTGCAGGGCTGCAGGAATGAAGGGAGCCAAGAACGATGCTTATGTGAATGCACAGCCCAGCGGTGTCAGCATCTGTGACACGTGGCGCTGGTGGGACAAATGGCCTTAGAACAGCAGTTCATCTACCTGAGGGAGTGCTGCAACCACCACAGCCTGACGAGGTACAGAAAGGGAGAGCTGCAGAGAAAATGTGTGTCCTTGGCCTCTGGCAGCCCTGGCACTTCGGGGATGGTCTATGCACCAGGTGATCCCTGCCGGCGTCGGAGTGCCCGCCCTCAAAAGCCTGGTGTGGCTCAGGACAGTTTGCATGGACTCAGGGCCGCTGACAGGACCCGCCCCAAGCAACACCACTTGTCCACGTCACGGTGCTGTCGGCGGAGAGCCGGCACCTGGTTCAGCCCTGGTACGCAGTGGCTCTCCCTCCCCTTTCACCCACCTCCAGTGCCACACTGTCCCAGCTCACACAGGACCTTCTCTAGACTTTCCTCCATCTTCATAGTGACTCCCTGAGGTCCTGCTGCTCCTCCCATTTGCAGTGGAAGGGCTGGCCTGGAGAGATGTGAGGACGTGGCCCGGGTCCCAGTGCTTATGTCAGTGCTGCTGGAATCTAAGTCAGAACTCAGGGCCCCACCACTTTGTGTGGCTTGTCTTCTGCTACCCAAGCTCTTGTTTAGTTTCCCAGGTTCTCGTCATTTCTAACTTACAGCCTGTCCCTGGATGCCTCAGCTGCTGGGTGTTTGATTAACATGGGTTGGTCTCTGAGGAGTTTAGCACACTTTTGGGCCTTGTATCCCTGAAGGTGGACCCTGAGCCCACAAACACTATGGCAGGGAGGGCCCCAGTGGCCCCTTGCACGTGTTTCCCCATGCAGCCCAGATGCGCCGGGTGGTTGGGCCTACCTGGTGCTCCTGCGAAGCCTTCTGTGCTGGGGATGGGCCCCTGTCCTGTCTGGCCATCTACCCCCTGGGGCAGGCCTCTTCCTGACATGCCCATCCTCCCTGGAGGACCAGCTTCTCCAGTCTCCATAATGACCCCAGTGGAGCCCGGCAAGAAGGGCAGCCCGGTCCAGCCAGGTCGTGCTGGTGGAAGCGGCGGCGGCTGCAGGGGTCCTGTTGCCTGGCCTGTGTGCTGCTGCTGTCTGCGGTCCTTGGGAAGCAGAGGACTGCTCGGCAGCGTGGTCAGCTTTGGATGAGATGGCTCAGTAGGGGCCTCTGGCAGCACCAGGTGTGGAGGACTTTCAGGTGCCTTGCCTTGGGGTGGTGACTTTGGTGCTTCTGAGGGATCTTCTGCTAAGTATTTGGAAAGTAGAAAAAAATACAGACTTAAAAAAATACAAACTCAGACTTGACCACTAACCCATAGTTCCACCCCTTAGTGAGACCACGAGGCCCATTTCCTTGTGAAGGACTGTGCTTGGGGGGGCTGTTCCTTGTAGAATCACTGAAGTTGTGGGTACTGCCTTCTCACTCCTGGGAACGCAGAGCAGCCCCCACAGCACAGGGAGAGCTGGCCTGTAGGAGGGCCATGGATGAAGTGGCCCTCAGCTCCTTTCTGCCTCATGCTCCCACTCTCCAGAACTGCAGTATTCTAGCTCCAGCAGCTGAAACTTTGATTCCAGGGCATGATGATATCAAACAACTCAAAAATTACTGAAAAGGACCTGCTGCCACAGATGACCTTACATTCTCTAGACAAGCCAGTCTCAGGTCACTGTGGACAGCTGAGGGCCTGTGGGCACAGATGCCACAGTGATCCAGGCAGGTGTCGGGGGAGCACAGGCCGCGCCTCTCATTCAAGAGGCCTTAGGAATCGCCGCTGACAGAAGCTGATTCACACATTCCCATGTCCTCTCGGGAAGCTGCCACCCTTTCCTTTGAATGTTGCTGGAACTAGCCTTATAGGAAGTCTTCCTGAGGGCCCATAAAGCATCTAAAAATAACCCAGAATGGTCGATATGCCACCACCCTCAACAGCCAAACCTCACCCACCTCACTCTGTAATAGTGCCTGCAATTTCCAGTTCCAGAGTTACAAAATGACAGGACAAAACCAGTGACTTCATTTTGACCCAGGGTCTAGTTTTGTCTTAAAACTCAGTAAGATTAGGGCCTCCCTGGTGGTGCAAGGGGTTAAGCACCATACTATGAAGCAATCCACAGCCTCTGTAGCATGAGTTCAATCTCTGGCCAGCCAGGGAGCAACCCACCTGGCGCAGCAGACCTCTCCTGACTCGCCCGCTGCTCCCCTCAGCAGTGTATTTCAGTCAAGTCTGCCTTTTCTGCTCCCCACTCTGTCTCTGGTAAATCCTCTCACCCCCCGCATTTCTGGCCTGTACCCCAGTTCTTGTATGCATAAATAAATAAATCTTAAAAAAAAAACAAAAACAAAACTCAGTAAGGTTATGGGCCTCCCTTGCTGCACCTCCCCCTGCAGTGACCTTTAGGGCTAACCGTCCCTAGGTCCGGCTGGGCAACCAGCGCACAGGGGGAGAACAGCAAAACCCCCTGAAGACATACCTGCTGCACCTCCCCCTGCAGTGACCTTTAGGAATGGCTTTCGCCACTGTCCCTAGGTCCGGCTGAGCAACCAGCGCGCAGAGGGAGAACAGCAAAGCACCCTGAAGCAGGGGAAGTACAGCGAAGTTCCCTGAAAAGACAGAAGCTTATCAAAAGATAACGACCACCAGGAACCACTACAAGAATGCTAAAAAACCTTATCCCGTCTTTCTAGAACTACAAACTTTAATCCCTTATTGTCTTTCTAAACTTCCTTCTTTCTTCTATAAAGGTCATTGCTTGTTAATTAAAAAATCATATGAAATCCTTAAAACAAGGCTGACTCAAATGAAACATTACTAAACCCTGTAATAATTAAAATATAGTATAGGTAAAAAAGTAGTTAATAAAAAATGCGATTATATAGTTTAAAAACAAAACTAATGGTCTATCTACTTAGGAATGAGGCTGAGTCCAGATGTAGATCACCGCCCTGTGGGTGATAGGCTGAGCCCATGAGCAAGCTGATTTCGTTGATATTCATTGTTCCTGTGCTTTTGGAAAACATATATATACTGGTCACAAACTCAAAGAAAATTACACTCAGATTTTCACTCTTGAAGTGTGTCTGTTTGTCATTTCTTTCACCGACGCCCTGACCACCCTGCACGCTTCTCTCAACCCTGAGGTGGCCTCATCGTCTACTGCTGTGCTGGTCCGCGGCACTCCCTGGTGGCCTAGGGGTTATGTCTCGGCACTACCACCTGAGTTTGGTCCCTAGCCAGGGAGTAACCCACATGGTGCAGCAGACCTCTCCTGTCTCACCCGCTGCTCCCCTCAGCAGTGTGTTTCAGTCATTCCTCCTGTTCTGTTCCCCACTCTGGTAAATTCTTTCACCACCCTCCCCCACCCTGCACCTCTGGCCTAGACCCAGTTCTTCTATGTAAAAATAAATAAAATCTTAAAAAAACCTCGAGTTAATTGTGGCAGATCAATTCCATGCTACCCATTTACCCAGTCTGGTTGCTCGCCCACATGGCCTCAAAGAGAAGTTATTTCTCCAACAGTTCTTTATGGCGAGTGCTTCATGAGAGAATTATGTCCTCTGGAGCATGATCTGACTGATCACTTTCTCAATTCTCCCCAGGCTGGTACAGAGCAGGTGCTCCACTCCGATCAATGGACTGGCATTAGGTCTTAATTCTCTTCAGATACTGGTTGACAAGTTTGGGTTAGACAGAGAAACAAAGTAAATGGATTCCAGACATGAGGACTGTGGGGGACAGGAGTGAAAGTGAAACAGTCGAAAACATTTGTCAATCTGCAAACTGAATTAGGAAGTTCTTAGCCACTTCCTCTGCTCAGTTCCCAGAACACTTGCTTAAAACCTCAGTTCTGAGATAAAAGGATTCTTTAGATTGATCCTGAATTAAAGCCCACAAGCCTGAAACTAGTGCCTCGCCTTTAAATGTGAACCACAGTCAACACCACCTGACGTGTGAGAACAGAGAAAAGACAGAGCCTAAAGCAAGCATCCCACTAATGAAAAGGAACCCCAAAGAAAGTAAACACATAAGAGAGAAGTAAACACATAACATAAGAGAGAAAGACACGGTATCCAAGACACAAGAGTAGATGCTATTTCAAAAAGCATATTCAGAGAATAAGGATGAGGCTTTGCTGATTAAAAATACAAGAAAGTTCAGTGAGGACTCCCTGGTGGCACAAGGGGTTAAGTCAGCCCAATGAAGCTTTCGGCAGCCTCTGCAGCACAAGTTCAATCCCCGGGCCAGGGAACTAAACCACATGGCGCAACAGACCTCACCTGTCTCACCCGCTGCTCCCCTCAGCAGTGTATTTCAGTCAGCTTGTTCTGTTCCCCGCTCTAACGCTGGTGAATCCTCTCACCGCCCCCCACCTCACCTCTGACCTACACCCCTGTTCTTGGATGCATAAGTAAAATAAATTTTTAAAAAATTCATTGAAAGAGTTGGTAGATAAAATTAAGGAAATCTTTTAAAATGTAGAACAGGACAGAATAATGGGCAATTGGAGGGTCAACCCAGAAGTCTTTGCAGAAAAGATCAGAAAAACTGGGCATAGGGATGATAAGATGATAAGGAGAGAATTCGCTCACAACACACACAAATTTCTCAGAACTGAAGAAAATAAAACAATTCCAGCACAATTGAATAAAAGATCCAAATCAAGGCATATTTAGGACACTGCAGATAAAGATCTCACAAACCTCACAATATTTTTTGTAAAGTAACTACAAGTCAAAAAGACATCAGGCTTCTTAACAGTACTAGGCACAAGAGAGTGAAGCCTTCAAATTTCTAGGAATATCATTAACCTTGAGAATTCTATACCCAGTCAAAATATCCCTCTAACACCCTGTCTTCAAAAGCCGCTGGAAAATGTGCTCCAGTGAGACAAGGGAGTGAACCAGGAAAGAAAGAAACAGAGTAAAGGGCCTGAGGAAAGAGGCTCAAGGACTTCTACGAAGGAAGTTTCAAGTTGAAATTTTTATGCAAGTCTAGAGAAAAACCAGTCCGGATTGGATCAGGAAGAGAGGACTCTAAGAGGGAGCTCACTCATTTAAAAAAAAATGAAACCAACAAATGATCTGATGTAGAAAATTGTATTGACAAGATGGTAGAGAGTGAGAAGCTACAATAGACACAAAACCTATCAAGAAATAATGTAACACAGCAATTTCAGAAGGAAGTAAAATAAACAGCAATAGTTACAGGAAGTTATTTGGCTCAAATGATATAAATACTGATTACTGATTTACTGTGCGATACTGTTGGGAATTGGAAGCAGGGGAAATGAGTGCCTAATATGGAAGCTAATATCTGTAGCTGATAAATATGTATATTTAAATACTATATGTAATATCTATAGACAGATATTTACAGCTAATAAATCAATTTAGTAACATGAAGGCAAGTATCAGGAATAAAACAGCTGAAAGACTTGCACGTGGCTGCCTCTGGGGAGACAGTGCTGGGGAGGGTGGGGTGTAGACAGCTGGTTTTCATTATATGCTTCACAGTTTATTTTGCTTATTTTTACAAAATGTAACTGTAGAAGATACTCAGTGAGGACCTGTTTCTACTCTTTCCCAGTCCAAACATATTTGGTCTATTCCCTCTCTTCCTTGCTTTTGATGCTGTCACGCCTGCCCCCTCACGCCCCACCACCCAAGCACATACACACAGCCCCTGCCTGAGCACCACCTGCCTTCTCTTTGGAATTGCTCCATTCACCAGGACTCTCTGCTTAGTCTCTCCCTCCTCATGTTTCTGTCCAAGTTTGTGTTTCTACCCAAAATTCAAAATTAATACTTTCGCTCAGTCCTACAACCCTCAAATTACCGTTGGCAAGATGCCTTCAACTAGTGCAGTATCGTCCTTCAAACTAGTCCTTATTTTCTTGCCTAGCCCTGCAAGCCCTTCAAACCAACCTTTCTCTGAAATCCACCTCATTCTCCCAGGCACCCCATCCAGGCAGACTGACTGAAATACACTGCTGAAGGGAGCAGTGGGCAAGTCAGGCGAGGTCTGCTGCGCAATGTGGGTTGCTCCCTGGCAGGCCGGGGATCAAACTCGTGCTGTAGAGGCTACAGATTGCTTCATAGTGCAGTGCTTAACCCCTTGCGCCACCAGGGAGGCCCCTCTTCAGCTTGTTTTTTAGAAACCATTCTAGTCTTATCATCCCCAGCTTGAAAATTTCCAGTCTTTTTCCACTGTTCACAAAATCAAGTCTTGCTGCCTCCATCTGAGTCGC